CTTGATAAAATTATAAAGATCCTTGTATGGATTGAAGCAATCTGGACGAATGTGGTATAATCGCCTTAGCGATTACTTACTCAAAGAATGGTATGTGAACAGTTATATTTGTCCATGCATTTTTATTAACAAATCAGAATCTGGTTTTGTTATTGTTGCAGTATATGTTGATGATCTGAATCTTGTGGGAACATTAGACGAGATCGAAAAGACAGCCACTTACTTAAAGAAATAATTCGAAATGAAAGATCTCAGAAAGACAAAATTCTGCCTTGGGTTGCAGGTTGAACATTTTTCGAGCGGTATTCTCATCCATCAATCAACATATACAGAAAAGATTCTGAAACGTTTTCAAATGAATAAAGCATATCCATTGAGCTCTCCAATGGTTGTCCGATCACTTGACGTCAAGAAAGATCATTTTCGTCTTCGAGAGGATGATGAAGAACTCCTTGGTCTTGAAGTACCCTATCTTAGTGCGATTGGTGCTCTTTTGTATCTTGCAAATTGCACAAGACCTGACATATTTTTTTCAGTCAATTTATTAGCAAGGTACAGTTCTGCACCAACTCGCAGACATTAGAATGAAATCAAACACATATTGCGATATCTTCGTGGTACAACTGATATGGGATTATTTTATTCAAAAGTATTAAATTCTTAATTAATTGGATATGCAGATGCCGACTATCTCTCTGACCCACATAAAGCTTATTCACAAACAGGATATGTGTTTGCCTGTGGCGACACAGCTATATCATGGCAATCTATGAAACAGACAATGATTGCCACGTCTTCAAATCATTATGAGATACTCGCAATCCATGAGGCAAGTAGGGAATGTTTTTGGTTGAGATCAATGATCCAACATATTCGAATAACATGTGGTCTCTTATCAATAAAAGAAAGCCCAACAGTATTATATGAAGATAATGCGGCATGCATTGCACAGATGAAGGAAGGATATATTAAAAGTGACAGGACCAAGCACATCTCACCAAAATTCTTTTATGCACATGAACTCCAGAAAATGGGTGATATTAATATTCATAAGATACGTTCATGTGAAAATCTAGCAAATCTATTAACTAAAACCCTTCCAACTATAATATTCAAGAAGCTGGTGCATAACATTGGAATGCGTCAACTAAAGGATCTTCAGGGTTGATCTAATGAGGATGAGCAATTGATCGAAGAGGTATTGGCATACTATACTCTTTTTCCTTCGTCCAGGTTTTGTCCCACTGGGTTTTTCTGGCAAGGTTTTAATGAGGCAGTCTTTTATCTATGCAATACCATTTTTAAGATACATAAGAATATTGTACTATTTTTCCTTCGTTAGGGTTTTGTCCCACTGGGTTTTCCTTAGCAATGTTTTAACGAGGCATATTCTTAGTGTAGTTTTGTGGACCCCAAGGAAGAGTGTTATATATATATATATATGCACACTTGTGCGGGGTCCACGAATTCATTAAGTCATCCATGTAATCATAAGTTTTGAGGCTTGCAAAGAAATATGGCTTTGGAGGCTTATAAGAGAAGATACCAAAATGGCGTACATGGGAATCTACACTGTGAGCCTATATAAGGCATTGAATGTCTATTATCTTCAGATATCAAAATTGAAGCTTTCATTCTCTCTGTCTCTATTTCGTTCTCTCTCTCTCGATTTCTCTGTGTACAAGTTTTTTTTATTTCTATAATAACTATTATTCTATATATATATATACACACACACATATATTTATTACAATTTTTGTTTATTTCTTAAAGTCTAATACTTTAAATTAACTCAATCAATATTAGGATTGTAAAACAAGTTGTTCATAAATAGTTTGATCTTGTCTCGTTAAAAAATCACTCAAATTAATCTAAGCAAGCGAATCGAAATACAAGTTGATTTTTTAGCTCGTTTAACAAGCAGGCTGAGTACAAATAATCCATGAGTTGGCTTGTTAGGCTGGTAGCATTTTCGTAAATAGGTGTTCATGGTTCGTGTATATTGGGTTGTCAACTACAAGGTTTCTAATCTTGGAAGAGAATGCCAAATTCAAATCAATTTACATTTTTTTTTTCCTTCAACCAATTTACATATTGAATTGTTGTGTTTATCATAGTTTTTCTATTAGGGTTAGTTTGGTTAGCGTCAACTAGCTGGAAAGGAAAAGAAACGGGAAAATTTCAAATTATTTGGGCTATGTTTGGAGGAGATTCCCCATTCCAAAATTCCTTCCATTTGAAGGCATTTGAAGAATGCATTTCAATGGAATGAATTTAAAAGGAAAAAACTATTTGGGGATGCACTTTTTGAAATTCCATTAATAATTAACCGTGTTTTAACTACACAATTTTATCCTTCACAACTTTGAAAAATTAAAGAAAACGATGAGAGCACTTGTGTGCATTAATTCACTGAGACAGATCCGAGAGAGAAAAATATGTGAAAAGAAAGACTAGGATTCCAAACGTAGATCTTGAGAACTAAAAACTTAAGGTTAACTTTAAAATTAGAAAAAGAATGATGTTTGAACCTATCAAAAACTCATTAAAGAATTAATTAAATAGGTAAAAGATTATAGTATTGGATACTTTTATTTTCACAACAAAGAGAAACAACAATCTCATTAGCAACAATTGTCATTGTTGAGAATTAAAAACTCAATTCTAATTGTATGCAGACATGAGATATAACGGGATGTGATAGTATTCTACTTTCAATAGGACTAGTTAATCCCAAATTCCCAACACTCCTGTTTCAAGAAATTTCTTCAAAAGTCCAACAATAATACATTAATTTATACACAAGAGAAACTTGCCATCCAATGATAGGCAAATCGTCTATGATGGTATTTTTCTACAATTTTTCTAGCACTGAATTTTTAAAAAGAACAAGGAGAGAGAATGGTGCACATAAGGATAAGATGCTACATTGAGAAAAATTGGAGACTGAGATTTTGGACAGTAGAGGTAGAGGACGAGAGGCCTGTAATTAATACCACATTTAAGGCTAACAGGGACAACATAAAATAAGTAATATGGTCAAATTTATAAAAAAATTATTAATTACTTAAAACATGATTTTGCTCCTGAAAGACCATATGAAAAACAAGTTTTTGTAACTTCGGTCAAACTGGCTTTTAGACCACTGCACTTGTTCTGCAAGCCCGTTTAAGAAATTTGCCAAACACAAATTTTTTTGGGAATGACTTTTTGGGCTCGGAAGCCCGTTTTGGAGCCCCACGAAGCCACACCAAACACGGCCTTGGTAGTTTGGTTAGTGTGAAAGGAAAAATTTTCAGGAAAGTAATATTCCTGCAATTGGTTAATTTTCCTTAAAATGTTTCCTCTATAAAACACGCGAAAAATTAGTTTCGCGTGAAAGTTGTATCATAATGTGTTCGTTTCCAATTATACCCTCGGTAGTTATTTCTCTTCCTTCTTTTTAGACTCACAAAAGGAGTGACTTCTTTTTGATAAATTAGGACTTCTACTTATATTACAACTTTATAACTCTTTAAATTATGACTCCTAATTAAGTTATAATTTTCTGACTTTTTAAATTAGGACTATATATATATATATATATATGTACGCACATATATTTTTATTCACAAAACAATTATTTATATTTTTTATTATCCTTGTTGTATGATGTATTTCACTTAGTATTGAATTCATGAGAGTAATTTTGGTATATAAATCATTTTATTTTCACTTTCTTGTTAACCAAACTAATGAAACAACATTTTCCCACAAATTTTTTACAAAAAAATCATGCTAACCAAATGCATGATAGAAACATAATTTTCTTTTCTTGTACTTCACTTTATTTTCCTTTCACTTCCCATCATCAATTTCCGACTAACCAAACGAACCCTTATAGTAAAACTAAACTCCAAGAGGGTATAGCCTAAGGTTTTTGCCTAAGAGTTTTAATTCCGTTAGGTCATCCGCAACAACTTCTCTAAAATTTTAGTCACATCAGTTTTTTTAAAAGCCACGTTAGTTTTTTCAAGAGCCACGTAGACACGTAAACAACTTCACCTCTCCAAAATTTGGCTCTGTAGCCTCTCCAATTTTCATTCTCTACAAATAATAAATTTTTTTTATTGGCTATATCTAAAAGGGTTTTTTTATTTTTTTGGCTAATATAAGTCCTTAGGCACTACTTGGGTCACCCAAACGGTACCTAAGGACTATATTATTTACTTATTGATTTTTTTTTTTTATTTAAAAAAAGGGCAAAAAAATGTGAAAAACTAATTTTGGGGGTTTAGGGACCAGCCAAACAAGCCCTTAAAGGCTCCCTATAGTTTTGAAAAAATGGTTGTCCTTTTTTTTTAAAAAAAAAAAATTTTGAGGCTGATTTTTTTACAAAAAAATAGCAATCACGGGCCAGATCACCAAGCCGACGAGTAGGCTTGCGAGAGCCTGTGGGCCCGCTAGCGTTAAGCGAGCACGCTTAGACCTATTTAGGCTATTTGCTCGCCAAATAGGGCTTTAAAGAGCCCATTGAGGATGGCCTTAGAGACTTTAGGAGACTCCCAGAGAAATTTTTCAATAAAAATATAAAGTTTGTGTTTGTGTGTATACTAGGTATATTTTTATTTCAAGACAAAAAGTGTTAGAAGTTAAATTAGTAGATATAGATGCCTTAATTGCGCGCTCTCTCTCTCTCTCTCTCTCTCTACACACACACACACCCTCATATAATAAATATTATCTACTGTTTTTTGTTTTTTTATCAGAATATTATCTAAGGTCTAAAATGGAATTAAATGGGGCAGGATAGAATATTTATATAGTCAAGAGTCTCAAGACACAATGAATTATTATTATTAATTAATTAAATTTTTTTTGACAGAAAGACACAGTTAAACGTACCGGACAAGATTGATGTCCAAAAATGAAAAACCCAAAAATGGGCCAGTCCGAGTTGGCCCAAAACTCTCACATTAGGCCCACTCAATGGCTCCAACCTGCCGAGCGAGGGCTGTAAAACCCTAGGAAAGAGGAAACACGACAGAAGCCTTGCGCATTTTTTCCTTTGCTAGGGCTTTACATCTTCACGTAGTATCCAAGTAGAGACAGAGAGAGAGAGGCGCTACTTCGTCCTTGTTTCACAAAGATGCCGAAGTCCAAGCGTAACAAAGCAGGTGGGTCTTCTTCCAATCCTACCTCTTCTTCTATCATTGTATTCTGTTTGGTTGCTGAGAAAGTTGAAACGAAAATTATTTCGAGGTAGTATCTCTTCACGGGGTTCCAGTTATCGCAGCAACCAAAAGGGTACCTTAAAGTTTTCAAAAAGAGGCCGTCTTTGAAAATTTATTTCCTTTTTTTGTTTGTTTGTTTGATTGTTTAGTGATTTTGGTTGGCGTTTGAATTGCAGTTACATTGTCAAAGACAAAGAAGAAAGGAAGGGATCATAAAGAATCCATTGTGAATTCGATAAGAGAGGCTGTGGAAAAGTACTCTTCAGTTTATGTTTTCTCTTTCGAAAACATGAGAAATCTGAAATTTAAGCAGTTCAGAGAGCAGCTTAAATCGTCTAGCAGGTAACGGAGTAATTCATCTCATGTCTTTAATTGTTCAGAAACAAAAAAAGAACTAAAATTTTATCTTCTTTATGTTGATTGTTTTTTTGTTTGTCAAAAAAGTTAAAAATGTCCAAGCCTGAGCTGTTACATTAAGTTTATTTGAAGGGGGTTTATGTATTTTGTAATCTCTAAGCAATGAATGTCAACAAAAATTAAGCTCTCTCTACTTTTTGACCTTCTTATATCAGCAACCGAATGGACGCCTAGGCTTGATTTGTTTTATCGAAAATCATGTCAAGAATTTACTGGAAAAGAGTTTTTAGTAATGGTTCTTTTACGGAACTTTTAGTTTATATTGCGTATTCCAGGGAAGCATTTTATGTCAAAGCAAGGATAGTGTAAACTGTAAAGTGCATTAATTTTTGATAACTCAGAGAAGAGTGGTGCTATATATACCGAGCCGAAGAGCCAAATTCAAGGGCCAATCACCTCGGTGTGTGAATCATTATTCGTCAGAGAAAAGACTGGTTTGCATTCAACATAATCAAAGTATGTTGATTTATCTATATGGTTTGCTATCGTACATATGGATAATGGATCCATTGAGCGTCAAATTTAAGTTCATTACGGGACTTTTTGTTCATTTATGGGACATTTGGATGTCAATGAGTCCATCCTATTCTGCGTAGGATTTAAAATGTGCCAATCTTCATTTCAATATGTCCACTAGCGTTTCACAATTAGTTGTTTCAAAGTAGGTGATTAAGGAACTTTCTGAATCAACACATATCGATTTTACACACCGACTTGTTCTCAACTTTTGTTCTAAATTTATACTTTTAAAACTATAAGCTCGTTTAATTTCATTCAGACTTACAAAGTCTCTCCCAATAGGAAATTGCAAAGTTTCCAACATGAATTTTGAAGACACTTCCAGTTGCTGTTTTGAATCATAACTGCTATTGTATAATGATGAATGTATCAGAAGTGAATATATTTTTTTTATTGTGTGCAGATTTTTCCTTGGGTCAAACAAAGTCATGCAGGTTTCTCTAGGTCGGTCTATTGCTGATGAGATCAGACCGGGTCTTCACAAAATTTCTAAGGTAGGCCATAAGCATGCTATTGACTTTTCCTAGTAACTTTACTGTTTTTCTTATTCATTGGTCTACTTTTACTCGTCCAGCTTTTGCGTGGAGATTCTGGCATTTGTTTCACTAATTTACCTAAAGAAGAGGTCCAAAGGTAACATATCTGTGATCACTTGAATACTATTCCCTATTGTTTCTGGGACAACAAGGGAAAAGGGAATGTGGAATTGAAGTCCTACAATGCATTTGTAAATTTGGATTTGATATTGGATATAATTTTTTGAAAGCTGGTGGTATACAATATAAATACCATGTTAGCAACGTTGAACTGTTATTTCAAATCCATGGGTCTGGAAGTTTAAACTCTTTCCAAGGATCTTCCAAACTCCAAAGATGCATTATAAATGTCTTCTCAAATTTGTATTTGGATTTTGAGGACCTTATACACATTATTCATGTCCATGATTAAAATGCTTGCTTACCAATACTTTGTTTTTTATTTTTGGTTCACTTCTTATCTTTAGTTCTCTCAGCAACTAAGCAGGAGCGTTAGTTAGATAATCAAGGATAATCTAGGGACACACCTTGATATTCTTAATGTGCCTTTTTCAAAATTAGGCATCCCATGAAATAAATTTTCTAAGACACTTTCAGTGCTGCTGCATTCTGATATTCAATTGTAGCTAGTTCAAATGGTAAAAACTAAGAGGTGATGTTTTAATAGAGCTGTTGGCAAAAGTCATCAGGTGCTGTTAAAGACTTTGTTATTTATCCCTTTTAAAATGTAACTATGCCAACTTCTGTTTTGTAATGCCTCTTTGAAGAATGTTTTCTCGCTGTTGTCCTTTCCCTCTTTCAAATAAGAAAGTATATCTAAATGAGAAGTTCACCCCCCAAGGCTTTGCTCTTCATCTTTTTCTTTTAAGTTATCCTTTTCACTTTCATTTTTTTTCCATATTCGTTATTGTTGGTTTTAAATATCTTGTTGCAGGTTGTTTAGTCAATATGAAGAATATGACTTTGCAAGGACCGGGAGTGTTGCAACTGAAAAGGTTCGACATAAACTGTTTCATAATCAGTGTCTTGGACATTTGGATGTGTTCCATGTAATGGCTCGAATTTGTTATGCATAGCATTAGATGGTAGGAATCATGACTAGGTCTGGGTTTGTTAAATAATGTGGGGGCCTATTTGCCCAACCATGTTAGATAAATTTTTAAAATTGCTTCAGATGAAACTCCTACAGTTTTGGTAGTCTGGCTAATTGTTTATTGATCATTTCTGATGTATAGAATTTACGGTCAAATGCCGTCTAAATTTAAGTAGGGCCTTTTTTTTTTGGTTGGAATCTAGATTCATCCTGTTGTTCATCAGGTTGTTGTGACGGCTTTTTGTTGGTGCCTGTCCTTTTTGCTGGTGACAGTAATCAAAGCATAGCTCCTGTCTTGTAGAAGAAAAATTCAATACTTAACAAGGAATTCAATTACATGCTTATTCTGATCATCCAAGTCTTACAGGTAGAGCTCAAGGAAGGTCCTCTGGAGCAATTCACGCATGAGATGGAGCCGTTCTTGCGCAAGCAAGGGATGCCTGTTAGGTTGAACAGAGGTTTGTTGCCTTTTTCACTCTTTAACCTTTTTTTTCTTCCCCAGCATTTGTAATTGACTTTGTTCGTGGTGAACAGGTGTGGTGGAGCTTGTTTCAGACTTCGTTGTCTGTGAGGAGGGGGCACCACTGTCTCCTGAGTCATCTCGCATACTGGTTTGTTCTAAACTTCCAATCTTACGATTTGACTGGTACACTATATTACATGAACTTCAGTACATGTTCGGTGTATATGGAAATTATTATCCTTGGATTTGTATATCCCCAAACCTGGCACGGCGAGATATCTATATTATTTGTTCTGTTATTTTTTTTTTTTAGTGTACATATAAAACAGATTGTTCAATAAATTAAAATAAGCTACTTGCGTCTAACCATACCCAGATCCCGCAGTGATGGGGGCCTCTTGCGGTAGCCCATAAAATAGAGTGTTCATTATTGGGTGCTTCAACTGTTTTAAAGAAACAATGTAATAAAAGGAACATTTTCTGTACAATTATGGATTAAGCTTGAATAACCTGACAGGCTTGTTGGGTGTCCTACAAATCATGCATGTGGTTTCATATGCTTGGCATGGTATATATTCATATACAAAACTCAATGAACATAGCTAGCACGCAACTAATAGGTTCCTCTTATTGGGTCAATTCAGCCAAATTTCCTTACCATTTAATATCTCAAGAGAAATTGAATAAGGGCTGACTTTTTCAATGCAGCGTCTGCTCGGTATGAAGATGGCCACCTTTCGACTTCACTTAATATGCAGATGGAGTCCTGAAGATTTTGAAGTTTATAAGGAAGGGCTGGACTTTTCAGATATCGAGTCTTCATAGTATGCTTTTGAGGAGGTTCCATGCTGGTTACTGCTTGCTTTATAAAAAGTAATACAACAGTGGTTGCGTATGGAATTTTCCCAGCTCTTCTGGGTTGTTGAAGTCATGTGTTACCTGTTTCTATTTTTCAGCCTTTGTTTGAAAGCTGTTGTACTAAAAGAGTGCATGTTTTCCGGCTCCACTTTCTTTAAGATGGAGATTTTGCGTCAACAGATTTGTGTAATAGAATTTCTAAAAGTTTTTGAAGAGTTATTTTGCTGCTTATTATTATTATTATTTTGGCTATCCTGGACGCCATGTTGTAATTCTCTTTTGATCATTAGCAACAAGGTTGAAAAAGTAACTGTTTTAAGTTCTTTTGTTCTTGGCGGAAGTTCATGTGTGGAAAATTTAAATGATATGCATCCCATTTCAATTATGCTCGGAGATAATTATTTTTGACCTCTGTTTAGGGATGTAGATTATTTTGACTTATTCAATCTTTTCTTCCTGTAACATGAACAATTGGCTATCTAATTACTTGCAACTTTGGCTGTTCTCTCTCAAAACCGTGCCATTTTTTTACAAAAATCTACACTATTTCTAAAAAAATAGTCAGTTAAGCTTTGTGGTATGGCCATAAAGATTAGGACAAGAAATTCCTGATATTGGAACGAGGGAAATTGACATTAGATGTGTCCGTGTTTTTATTTATTTATTTATTTAATTTTTTTTTTCACATATTTATTTTTATTTTATTTTTGTCTTCGGGTCATGTGGGCCCAAGACCAGGTCAAGTGCTCGGGAATAGTTTTCGATACTTCTTTTGTTCTATTGGAGCATGTTGCATCTTCATGACATTGTGGGGCTTATTTTACACTTGAATGCGATTCTGTTTTTATTTGGGACATTTGTGACATTATCTTTTGATATATTTTTATTTGAGCTTTTGTGCGAATATCTTTTGAGATTTTTTAATTTGGGGGTTTTTGTGCGATTATCTTTTGAGATATTTTTTTAAAATTTTTTTTGTACAATTATCTTTTGAGATATTTTCATATAGGGGGCTTTTGTACAATTTGTGAAAGTTGTGCGACATGTGAGAGGACGAATTAGTGACAATCGGAGTGGAACTGAGCGTGTGTGTGTGTGTGTGAGAGAGAGAGAGAGGTAGTGCTAGGGTAGGTATTGAGATATTATATCACAATTATCATATACCATTTTTTCTCCTAATCTTCATCTTCCTCTCTTTCACCAAGACTTTCACCATTGTTGCTCTAAACCAAAACTTCATTTCCTTCACCTTCCATTGACCTTCTCGACTAGCCATAGAAGGGAGAGAGCTGGGGGACACTAAGGCCAACAAAACAAAACCGTTTTGTTTTGGATTTGGAGCTACTTCTTCATTTGGATTCTAGGATTTGCTTTCTCTAGTGAGGTAGGGGGTGTAGTATGACTTTAACCTAGTCTTTTCCTCGTGTTTTGAGGTGTAATGTGTGTTATGCATGTATAGTGTGAGTTGTGAGTATTTTTTATGTATAATTATTGATAACCTAGTTCTTAAATGATGATAGTAAGCATGTTGTTGATTTGCTCTACGTTTTAGATGCTCACGTGATGTATATACATGATACTTGAGGAAATCATTATATACTTATATATGGATTCATGCGTTGACTTATGTGAGGTTAGTGTCTAACTTATATGATTTTTGTTCTTATATTGTTGGTAGTGCAAGCTTTATTTTGAATACATGTATATACTATTAACTGGTCACTTGTTATGGTTTATATTGATGGAATCCTTCAATTATGATATTTGTGCTAAACATGATCTTAGAATATCATGTTTGATGTCATTTGTATTGAAATAAATGCCATGATAGTATTCGGGACTATAAGACGTGTCGCTTGAGTAGTGAAGGTTATGTGCGCTTGTGAAGTGTTTTGATTGATTATAATGTATATGATACGTTGTGGGATTGATTGATGATTTTTGGGAGATATTTGGGACCTTTTGATATTTTGAGAATGCAAGGGTTCGGCGCTCGCGGTGAGCTCGGGCTTCCCTATTTATAGTGGTCACTTTGTTAGTTCATTGCGAACTAGTAGCCCAAAAATAACTATTTTTCTGGTGCATACAGTATGTATGATCGGGGGTGTGGGTGTGTCCAAGTTATCCCTATTATTGATTTCGGATCTAATTTTTCAAGTTGACATCCGTGTGTAGTTGTAACTTGGTGCGTTTCAGTTTCATTATATTTTCTTGTATTGGTATATTCTTGAATGGAATTATCATATATAATTCAATTCCTAGTTCTAAGATGATCCTTTAGAATTACCCTTGAATTAGATGTCATGAGGAATGTCCTATACTTGTATAGCATATGCTGCATTTGCGAGACCAATGAAACCTAGTTTAGTTCTATAATGCATTCCCTATGGAGTAATTTAAATTACTCACACCCGTTGATTTAACATTTTTCAGGTAAAGATATTTTCTACATTGATGCAACTCCATTATAGTTTGGACGTGCTTTGTTTTCCATTTTGGACTCTTTTCAGATAGTGTTTACATGCAATGTGTTAAACATGTTTTGATGTAGTACTTTTGGACATGATGTACTTATGGATCTTATGTATTTTTTAGAGGGAAAATGGCTAGGGAACTCATCTTCTTCTTTTGGAGTTCCCAAATGATTTTCGCTTCTTATTTCGTTTTGTAGTACTTGTACGACAAATGATGTAATGAGGCCAATGAGCCATTTATCTTCAATGTATGTTTCGTCCGTAAATTGCACCCTTGTATGAGTATTTACACGTACACAATTGATATACGATGTTTAGGACGGGTTTCGAACGTGCTTAGAACCTTGTATGGGTACCAAGGAGGTTTTCCGGGATCTTATGGATCATTATTTAGGGTTTGTTGCATTTTTTTGAGTTTTGAGCTCTAGCACTAACCTCATTGCTTGAGTATTACCCTCAATGCTCCACATTTTCTTCTAGTGCTCGAGCATTTTCTTCAAGAGCTCGAGCTTTCCATTTTTCGAGAATTTCATTACCATAACTTCTTTGTGCTCGAGCACTACATTCTTGTGCTCGATTAATTTTTTTCAATGCTCGAGCATTGACCCCAGCGCTCAAGCACTAAGCACTACACTTGTGTATTTGACCCTCATTATTCGAATGGCCAAATTTTTTTCGTTTTAAACCCGAATTGGGTAATTCTTGAGCCTAAAGTGTAGGATTTTGAGCAAGCTATCCAATGGTACACATCCCATCCTCTATATTTGTCATGAAATTACCATTTTACCCTTAGATATTATGACTGATTTGACCTTAGCTTCCACAATTGTTGATTGGGTTCTCGGGTCGGGGCTTGGATCTACTTGATTGATGTACTGGATCATGGAGTTTGGGGTGTCACAAGATGTTACCCAAAGAAAATAAGTTTGTCAGTAAAAATCAATGCCCTAAACACAAAGGTTACAGTGACATGGTAGGCAGCCTTGGGAAAACCAAAAAATTGTTGATTTCTGCTGAGGATCTCATAGAATTAATTGGCTGCATGGTCAAAGCCCTGATCAATTTATTTATTTATTTTTTAATCCCAATTCCACATCTCACAATTCCAACGGGATGGAAATGCTGGGGTCGGTCCACAAATTTTCCTTCCTTTTGCCATATGAGTGCATCAAGCTGTCTGCAAGGGCCAACCTGTTTGATGATTATTGAGTTTTTAGCGAATGCCTTTCACGATATCTCTTTAGTTTAGATGTTGCCATTACAGGTTAAGTGAGGAGTGTTGAGACTAGTCTTTTAGTTGTCAACTTGTTTGAGCAGCTTAACAAAAACTTGGGAGCTTCACGGCATCTACGGTTCAATATGGTAAGACACAAATGAAAGACAGGATCCTTCAATATTTTGCTCATGCCTTGTACTTTCGCGTATTAAAACTCAATCGTCCACATATGCTACATGGACTCGTAAAATGTAGGTGAACCATCCGTGCATGACACAATTTTCGGACATGAGCATGGAGTGCGTGAGCAACCACTTTTGGTTGGTCAAGGACCCAAGAAGCAGATTCAATATTTCAATTTTATTATATTATTGCTTCAAAACAAATGAAATGTCTATATTGACATTTGTTACATAAATATTTAGTAGTGTTCCATTGTCCTTCTCTTCGAGGTTTTCAAATGCTTGGATACACACACATTCAATACATGTACTCGAGTCCATCTAACAAGGGTGTAAAATATAGTTGAGAAACTATCAAAGAGACACTGAGATGCAAATTAAGATGCAAAAATATATCCAAGGTTTTGAAATGCCCTCATAGACCCAATAAAAAAAATTAAAAATCTGAAGCTCCTATGTATGTCTTCCACCAAGAATCGAACAATTCTAAAGAGACTCTAAAATAAGAGACACTAACGCAAAACAGGAGCGTGTGAATGGGCACTCAATTGTAGTACCCTATAATTGGTGAAATGAGTGTGTAATTTTTGGAACCATGCGATCGTACAAGTACATCTGGCATAGCAGGTCTGATAAAACAAAATCTTGAAAAATAAACCTCTGTTGCCAAAATGCTATGCCTCTCCACCAAACAACCATAAAACAAAACACAGTTTCTTCAGCTAAGTTACTTTTTCCTAAAACAAACCTCAATTCATGATGCTGCCAATTCAGCCTTCTGATCTTCCAAGAGCTTCAACTCCTCACGCCAGTCTTCTAATTTAGCCACCTTGTCCAACTGTTCTGGTTTCATATCTTGCTGCACGGTTTTCTGCTGTAGAGCTTCAGTAAGCCGAATCTGTTAAGGTAAACAAGAAAAATTAGGTGCCCTAGTAGTAGCTCTGTTTGATCACCATTCTCAAAATCCTTGAACCCCAAAGCTCATGGAATATGAGCTAATAAAAAATTGGAGTCCACAACAACAAAGTGGTAGTCATGCTGAAGTTTATAAATTACATCTAAAGCAACATAATTCCTATATAACATTGTAGATGTTTCAATGGTCCACAAATTGGCACTATTCTATGGTTAAGAAGACTTTTTCTCTGCCAAAAGTAACCAAGAGCACCCCACCCGCACCCCAGAAAAGAGAAGCAGGAAAAAAAAAAAAAGGGCGAGGCAAAACTTATGGAACCTAAGACGAGCACTACCAAAGTTATCTTTCTGTTTCTGCCACCAATATAACACTGGCACAACACCAGAATTATTTAACCAACAAATTTTAGGTACAGATATAATGTTGTAACATCACCAAAATGACATTGATATTCATTTAAATATCAATGTCAGAAAAATAAATTAACACTGAATTATTTAAAGGCACGACCACTGATATTCATTTAAATAAATCAGAAAAATTAACACTGTTCATCAAATTCAGATTTCCTGGTTCGCATGATTTACATTTCCATTATGAATTTGATTCACGATCAGTACCCTTGAGTCTTGAATTGTGTGAAAGCATAAAGTCAATAATTGGGATGAAAACCAATTTCATTATTAGCAGACTTGACATTGCCAATAAAAGCAATATCTTACATTTCAATTGTGACTGAAAAAAACTAACCAAGGCTGAGCATCTGATTGGCTAAATAGAAACTTTAATTTTAACTGTCACTGAAAGGGAAAAAGTTTCTTGTCATTTCAAGTTTTTGCATATCGGCATCATACAGTTCTTTGATGTATTTTTATTTTTGTTTCTTTAACAAAAATATTTCATCAACTATAAACAAAAAATGAAAATTAAGAAAATCGACTCAGCTGATACAATAGTTCTCATGCATGAAAAGGAACCTTGGAGAAGACCTATTAAAAGTAAGGGTAAATTACTCTGATCTCCCTGAGGTTACTCTCAGATTAAACATTTTTGCAAAGTTACTCTGACGAGTGTCAGAGTAACATTCCGTTAGTGGATTTAACGGATCGCTTACATTTACTTAAATACCCTCAATTTTGATTGTTTAATTACTGAAGTACCCTCTATTTATTGCATGTTGCTGATGTAAGCATACCCTCCCTTATTAATAATTTATTCCCTCTCTCCACCGCCACCTTTGTCCACCCCCACGACCACCCCAATCCCCACCCCCTCTCTCTGCACCATCGTGATTTCCCCATCGAATGCTTCACCAATTGCTTCTTCAACAACTCAACATCTCCCTTGTTCTACTCTCTCTCTCTTCGTCCACAATCACTGATTTTGGCTTCTCATGGAGTTCTGGAGTTCTGGCCTTTTTGAGTTAATGGTGGTCCATTTTCAAACCGAAATGGAACACTGGTTAGTAACTCGTTTCTTCCATCTCAACCCTCTACGCAACCAAAACCCCAAATCTCTCACACGCTAGAAAACGTCATTTGCGTGCTCGAACCAGATTGTAATTGGGTTTGATTCGTTCAATTGAGAGAACAACTGCTTTTGTATTTCAGAATAACAAAACCTTTTGATGTGGAATTATGGTGAATTCAGAGATTTTTGGGTCTAGGAGAACCATTGAGGCACAACACATGATTTTGTGATGTATTACGTTGAATCACGTGTTTATCATGTATATGAGTGTATATATGTCAGTATGTGTAGTGGCGGGTTTTGGGTTTCAATTCTTCGTGGGTTTTTTTTTATATTGATTTTGGTTAAATTTGACATTAATTTATGGCCAATAATTGCTGTTGTTGTGGTGGTGGTGTGGTGTTGGAGAGATACAGAGCAAAGAGATGGTATATTTCTGTATTTTGGTTAGAAAGAGACTAATCCAGTTCAGAGAGAAATCCAGTTCTTTAGAAAGAGATTCAATTCCTCAGCTTGTCTTTTACAGAGAAGAGCGACAGTGATGAGAGAGAAAAAAATCTAACTCTATTTTAGTGTTTGAGGGTAGTATTGGCATTTTGAAAACAAAAATCAATTGACTTTAACGGGACAAACGGTCAACCCGGCTACTCGGAGATAAGTCAACCAAACTTCAAGGGAGGTCGGCCACAAAAATTCAAAAAGTTTAATCCGAGAGTAATTGAGCCTAACCTCAAGGGCGGTCAGAGTAATTTACCCCAAAAGTAATGATAGTTTATCTACTAAATAAAAATGTTTGTTACAAGCTGAGACTAGATAAACAAAATGAACAGTAAGCTTTAGTTCATAATGTTCATGAAAATCACTCAATTTAGACTTATCGGAAAGGGAAAAAAAAAAAAACTCAATTTAGATGCATGATGTTTCCTTCTCCTTCAATACTATCAAATGTCATGAAGAAAATCTAAACTAGAACCTTCAAAATCTCACAAGCTTAGATACTTTCCAATAGACTTTTTATGATATGTTCATAACACAACCTCCCTCAAAAATTTGAAAAGAAAAACTGAAAAATAAGATAACATAGAACACAGTACAGTGATGAATATTTCTAGGTGAAACTACAAGCATGAGATATTGTACCTTCTTTTTTAGCGCTCGAATCTTTTTATCAATATCAGGAACAGGATCCGCAGGCATTAAACACTCTGTTGAGTTTGAAGGAGTCTTAACTACAGTAGGAACTGCAGAAATTGTGAGCTCATTCATCTGGGATGCCACTGAATCAAAAGACTCCATTCCATGACTCCCATCTTCAGCAGACGACACTTCATCCTTGTCCAAATTCTTACCCTTGTCAAGAGTAGCCTGCTGCAGATAACATGCTATTTACTTACCAAAATAAAGAAAAGAAAGAAAGAAACAACTCGCAATCACACACAAAAAAACCTATAAAAAAAGAAAAGGAAAAAAAGAAGAAGAAGAGCAGCACAACTGTTCCTAGAATGAAATACATCACAAGCTTTCTATGACTTATTGTTAATTACCAAGTCTGATCAAGAGTATTGGTGTAAATAAATTTTTCTTTTTGATAAGTAAAGTATCATAAAGCGCTCAAACGGGGAGCGCATCCCAAAGAAATACAGAAGGGCCAAATAGGGCCCCTAACCTCTAAAAATATCTACAAAATTCATCAACTCCCCTGTCAATTTACAATTTCTTCCCCGCAGCCAAAAAAATAAAGAGCTACGAAAAAAGAACTTAAGCCCCCATACAGGAGTCTCCTGTCCCTTGAAGAATCTCCTATTTTGCTCCTTCCACAAGATCCACCATAAACACACAGGCGACACCCTCCAAGCATCTCAGACTTGGAACAACTCTGTGCAACCTCTTCAAGCCTCAAGCAAGCTCAACGTGGAATGAGGCATGACCCAGTGAACCCCGAATAAACCCTCCAGCATGGTCCAGCACTCCCTAGCCACTGGACAGTAAAGAAGAAGATGGTTCACTGACTCCTCATTGCTCTTGCACATGCAGCACCAGTTCACAATGATCTGTCGTTCAAATGTGGAGGGCACACAAATGACGTACCCTTATTGTAAACCATTTCGCTCCATTTACAAAATTCAATAATTTATAGCTACCAAACCAGAAATCAAGAAGGGATTTGATATTAGTATGCCCTCCATTTCATGCATTTTTATAGCCTTAGGAAAGAGATACTTGTAAACTCTCATAGCAGAGATGGATGAATGAATTGAAAAACCCTAGGTGGATAGATGCAACTGTAGTTTTATACTCTCCTTGGCACATTAGAATGTCTAAATTTTCATCTCTAAATACCAAAATGGGCAAAGACGTGAGGGTCAGAGATGCAAGGGGAAAAATATAATCCAGGGAACCTAGGGATTAGGAGGGGCTGGTGTTATACTATTCATATATTGAAAAAAAGAAGGCACCTTTTCGTGGTGGTTTTTTCCTCTGATTACCATGTCCTAGCAGTCATTGTTAAAATTTCCAATATCACCAATGTAATTCGAAAGATGCATTAGGTCAAACTAGGGACAATATGAATGTAACAACACTGTAGGAAGTTTGGGATCACAACTCAAGTGGAAAATTAGCAAACGATTCTGTAGAGTTCTTATATTATTTTTGACATATTTCCAGAGATCTTAGATTTTGAATTGTGTAATTTGTGTGTGTGTGTGTGTGTGTGTGTGTGTATATATATATATAAAAGGGTGCATTAGCATTTATGAATTAAAAGTAAATAAATTTGAATTCAGGAGTATAGCTTAGATACAATTGCCTAGATGTAGATTTCAACAAGATTCGTAGATAGTTTTGAGCAGCTAATCCTTCTTTATATTAATGATTAGAACCCAAAGGCCCTTCAGTTCATACACATATCAAAATTGCCCCATTATCCTTTATATATATATAATAGTCTATGGTTTTCCACCAGGGACATCTCATTCATCTCTGCAACATCAATCCAGACTAAATACTTCCCTTACCAAAGATGAAACTCTGGATAAGATAATCACTATCTATGTCACAGTTGCTCGTGCTCTCTCTATTTCTGAGCACGCACAAACACACATTGTTTGGCGCAACTTTTGAGACAAAATTGCCAATATTTAAGGCCTTGTGTTCTAGCACTTGAAGGTAGTTCAAATCAATTTCTCTACGGGTTGGGCATGGGGAAAGGTAAAAGCAAGCTAGGGGGGGAGCCCCAGTTTTCGCGAGATAAGGGGGGGCATTGCCGACTCTTCCACTCAATACCAGATTAGGAGAATAATAGTCACCTAAACTCTCTAGCAAATAAACAGTGCAACAATGAATGATTTGAACTCTCAGCTCTCTTATATGGCCCTAATTAACCATCCTAAGAACTCCGCACTTCAATTTATCGATGCAAAGGTAAATTCCAAAGAGACGGATTAGCAAAGGAAGCCACCTTCAGAGGAGCCTTCATACACTCAAATGCCACTCCAAGGAAAATCCACCATACCACCTCTAGAAAGTACTGATAAAGTTGACAAATGCTGAAAGTCGCACAGTTGGCACTTTTTCATCCAATTGAATCCTCTTGTCTACTTCTTTCGCAACTCTTCTCCTCTTAGTCCCCCTTACTTCTCCCTTCCTCTAACTCTTTTTTCTCACTTATACCATCTGTTCATTCTCCTAATTACGCTGGAATCCTTCTCTCTCTACATTGTCATCCCTTTCATCTCTATTTCCTTCATTCCGGAAAAAGAGATCTACTTTCTTATTTAGGAAAGCCCTATAGGAGGTTATTTTCTTGGTCCCTGGGAAGGCTTTATTAGTGTGGTATCAGAGTAGTCTTTCTGATATATTTAAGTGCTAACTGAGTGTGTTTTTCTTGCTCATTCTGATTTTTCTTTTTCATATCACGGAGCATGGTTCGCACTTTATTGATGGTATCATTGTGAGGATTCAAACATAATTTTACATATGGTGTGAGAGTGCCAATAACTATTAAGGATCAATACATGATAAAACTATCATCTGAATATTTGAACTCTTTACAACTTGATGTCAAGTTTACTCCATCAAGAAAATAAGGACTCCCTGCACCACATAACAGCTTATAATATCACCCCAAACTTATGACTCCTGTTTCCATTCCAAATTTACGCACCCTCCTCCATTCATTAAACTCATCCCCATTTATTATTGCAGAAAATAGATCTACATCATTTAACTACCATTCTTGAGTAGCATTCATGAAGAGGGGGTTGCAAGCCATTCTTGACTCAGAAAATATAGCCAGGAACTGATGCCTCCTATTTTGGCAATATTATTCAGTATCAAAAATCCATCATCCAAGGAAACCTTTCCACACCATTATATAATGCCAAAAGTTGACTCATTAAACATCACTTAAGGCAAAGCCAGCATGCTTAGAGATGGGGCTGCAAATGAACCCAGGGCTCGGCTTGATAAGAGCTCGACTCACATTCATTTGTTGCTACTGATCCGAGTTCGAACAAATTTTTTGCGTTCATTTAGCTCAAACTACCTTAGGCTAGGCTCGATAAATTCATGGACCGTTTGTGAACAGGCTCGTTTGCTTGTTAGAAAACCACATATATATGCATATGAGCACTTCGTTTCAAAACCATTATTAAATATAAATATATATATATACTCACTCAATTTCGGAACCTAAATACACTATCCCTTTCATTTCCGCCATCCAATCCCTCTTTGACGCTCAATCTTCCGCCTCCCACCTCTCTCTCCAATTTGAAACCTAATCGCTTGTTATAGTCTTCTCTATCTCATGGTGTCTTCTCTATCTCTTTCATTGGCAGCCATCGAACTCCCAAAGTTCTACCTCTTTGCCTCATCACATTTGAAAGATGCTGGCAGTTCATCACCTACAAACACCGATTGCCTTCCTCTGGTGAGTCAGATATCTTTATTTCCTCTCTCTATCTCATGGCTTCTTCTCTCTCTCTCCAATTGCCATCTTCAACTATTGCAAATTATGGCTGCTCAAGCACACCTTCGCTTTCAACTTCTACAGAAACTATTCTCACTTTCACCTTCCTCTCTCCAAAAGGACCAACATTTTTCGGCATTCATCACTTTAAGCTTATAAGCAATTTCTATACAATGATATTTTGGAAGATCTATTGTATTGATTAATATTTTATATGTTTTGCGTTGATTTGAATGTAATAGATTTAAGGCTTTTGTCCAGATTCAATACTTGCATTCTATTGAAGTGTTGAGCAATTTTTTTACAACATTTTCTAAAAACAACAAATCAAAATTTCATTTTCGTAAAATTTGGTAAACATGTGGTTTATAAAATCAATCTTGATCTCAAACTTGAGCTTGAAATCGAGCTTGATAACGAGCTCAAGCTCGAACTCAGCTTGCTAAATTAAACAAGCTAGCCAAGCCAAGCTTGAATTTATCAAACTATGAACAAGCTGAGCTCGAACACTGATGTGGGAGCTCAAGCCGAGATCGAATAAGTCACTACTCGGCTTGGATCGAATCGGTTTATTTACAGCCCTACGTGGAGAACTCCAATTCCTTTCTTCTTCTCTTTTTGTAGCTGCCACCTTGTATGAACTTCCAAGCTCAATCAATATCCAAACAACCTGCGTTTATCACTAAATTTCTCCTTCACCACCCTTCCTTATAAACTTCATTCCCATATGTTGCGTGCCTTCACTACCAAAAGCAAAATGCCTACTGCTTCAGTTTCTAGATACCTGGTCCTTTCATATGCAAAGGGGAGGACACTGTATACGTCCCGGCCCACCATGTTACCTCATTTACCTGTCCAACTTCAATTACAAATATATCAGAATATTCAAAACATGAATCCTACAGAGAGGTGCATTAATCACTATTAACATCATTTGGTCGCTACAAGGTCAGAACATTGTGGGGAGTATGGCACTTGACATCGAGGCAGGGTGGAGTGTCTTCTGGATTAGGGCTTGTAATATTGATGTGTCAATCTAGGGAGAATTTCATTAGGGCTTTCGATATTGATCTAATAGGTTTATATGCACGATTCTAGGGGGTAAAAAACCTTTAATAGGGACTGGATGAGCGATAGCTAACCCTAAATATAATTCAGAAGAAGTGTGTCCATGGTGGAATGTCTACTAGATTTTCTAGCATTCAGTTGAAATACACTGTTCAGCCTCATTGTTTAGACCTGAATCAAACACATAATGGGTAGCCATTACCCAACCACATGTATTGGGACTTGGGCTGGTATAACCATAAAAAATAAAATAACAATAGCAGAAGACACTAGATTTTGTGGAACTGTGTTTGTCCTAATAAGCACGAACTTAGTTTTTAACATGTATACAATGACGAAAGGATTGTAAACAACCATTCAGAGCGATTAAAATAAATTTGTCATGGGCTTTGCAAAAATGTATATCACTGCTAAATTTGTTATCTGGTCTACACGGGTATCTTGTATATCTCAAGATGAAATAAAAGAGTTCTTTACTTGCAAACAAGCAGAAAACATAGAAAAACAATGACAATAATAACACTTGTGGTCGTCTAGAATGCCGAAATACACCTAACTTACATAAAAAGGTTTTTGGGTTGGTAGCAAGCATTAGATTAAATCGTGGCAGGATTGTCAATGTAATTAGTGATCAAATCATTAAACTTTCCACAATCAACACAATATACAATGCTGACTTAACTAAACATTCACTTCTAAAGTTGCCACTCTGGCTGCGTACAAAATTGTGCGTGCCAGTGTGCGTAAAAAAGAGAGTTTTACCTGTAGTCGTCTCTCTTTCTTTCTTTCATTCCTCTTAGCAGCTTTAGTTTTGGGTTTGGCATCCAAAACAGGATCGTAACCCGGCGGCATCTCCTGAGATGATGCCATCTCCTTCTTCCACTGCCACAGTCAAAATTCCAAAACAATAGCAAAAACCCATGTCAGTGCATATGCATATATACATATGTGTGTATATATATAACATAACTATATGGGTAAATATGTTATAAGCAAGCATACCAGAGTTCCTTTGGATTGGTAAATGGCGACTTCATCTTGGGGGACATAACCAGCCCTAATTCGAATGGGCTTTCGGAGAGTACCGTCTGGTCTTCTTGTGGGAGCGAGAATTCTTTCCCCTTCTTTTAGGGTTTTGCTCAACTGAGCTGCTAACTCCTTCACTTCTTCCTCACCACCTCCTCCTCCTCCATTGCCACTGCTAGCCATAGACGTCTGATTTCTAGAGAGAGAAAGTAACAATCAATCAGCAACCAAAAGATCGATTTTTTTAAATATTTGATTGTCTGATTCGTGCGTTGGTGATAGAGAGTGGAGGAGAGACGATTGTGAGAATGATGAGTAACTGAGGCAAAGGCCCGAAATTTCGAGCCATTATTTTTAATTTCACGAAATTTAGACTCAATTTTGAGTATTTGACTACCAAAAAGGAAGAAACCTTTATTATGGTTCATTGCAGTTTAATGTTTTTTTAAATATATATATGTGTGAAATATCATTTAGAAAAAAAAAAATCTGAAATAACATTATTACAGTATTGTTTAAAATTGAAAGTAAAATAATTATGGGATGTGAACTTTTGTAACTTTTTATTTATTTAAACACAATTGTAATGTTATTTATATTCTATTTTCATCTTCTTGTATTCTTCATTGTTAATAGTGTGAGAATGGACAATTGAGTTGTTTCATAACTAAATAAATAAATAAAAAACATCATGTAAATATAAGAAATAGTATGATTTTTGAATACTCAATTATTTTAATAAATGCAATTTAATTTTAAAAGGATAAGTAACCAATTAAAATTTTAAAAAATAAAATTTCTCTTTTGGTGGTTTGAAATTAAAATTTCGTTTAGCAAAAAAAAGTGACCTCAATACTAAATTTTTATTTTGAAAAACTTAATATGTTAATGTCATTTATTTTAAAAAATAGAATGCATGGTTTCATGAACAGGCCATTTAGGCGGTTGCCAAAGCCCAACTAATAAAAAGACTCAAAATATTTTCATGTATTATATATATAATATTTCTAAAAATTTAGGGAAATTTAAATAATAGACCAAAAGATTTCTATATTTATCTCAATTTTATAAAGACAAAATTATTTTCATATATTAAAAGCTTCTTTAAATTTTTATAACCATTCACTGGTGAAAACTAATAGTAGACCAAATGATTTAAATACTTATGTTCCTTCTTTTTTTTTTCTTCCTCTTCCCGTCATTCCATATATATATATTTTATTACTCTCCACCATTATTATACTTAACACCAACTCTAATTATTGAATATATATTTAAGGCTCATGAGAATTGTAAAAATATGAACTTTTATCTTTCTTTTTTCTCCTTACAAAGTCTTCCTTTTCTCTCATTATAATTTATTCATCACAATCTCACTCCATCTCAAGTTTTAGTTGAGAATTCTTTTGGAGTGTTGGACGGAATTTTTATAAATCAAATTAAATTATTCTTTACCTTAAATTATTTTGTAGTCTAATTAATTTTTATTATTGTAAAATTATATATTTTGTTTGTAAATAGTGACCATTTTTATTTATACAACTAAATATGTCTATTAAAAAATGTAGAGAAGTACAGATAAAAAATTTAGGTGAAAATTAAATAAATGAACAACTAAACATCTAAATAATTAGAAAATTATACAATACTGATTTATTTATATTTTTTTTGAGACTCATTATGTCATATCATGTGACATACCATCTACCAGTTTATAAATTTCACCTGAAAAAGTCTAAATCTGATATATAAATCATTACTTATTTTAAAATTAAAATCTAATTTGCTAGGAGTGATTTATAATCTATAAGCACAACAAAAACAAATTGAAATAAGCAATGATATTGAAAATTGACATGACTCGATATCTTCAATATTAAGATATCTTCAATATTAAGATATCTTTTAATTATTTTTCTTTCTCATTTTTTTCAAAATTAGTTTTGCTTTCGAAATTTGAACTCTTTGTTTGTTTTTCCTTCTATACTTGCTCAATAAAAGCAAAAATAATTTTAAGAATTTGTTTAGATATATATATATATATATATATATATATATATATATATATTACATGATTTAATTACTAACAAAATGTTCTTATTTGCTTAATGTGAAAAATACAATATTTAATAAATATTAAACAAATATGGTTTTATTTTTTATACAATAAATAGGTTTTTTGCCCTTTACCTTTTTTATTAATTGAAATTACACAAATAAAAAAAACGATCATTATTATTGTTATATTTATTATATACAAATGGAGTCCTTCACAATTCTCCTTTTCTTTTTCTTTTTTTTTTTTCATTATTTTTAACTATAAGTCATCATCTCATATTTTAAAACGTAAAATTATTTCTTATTATTTCATTCCAAGTTATTTATCTTTCTTTCATTTCCTTTACTTTATTTTATTTTTTTGCACCAATTTTCCTTCTGAAATGATATAAATAAAATAACACATTACACCAGAGTTGAGAAGACATTACAAATGAAGATATTACACGACTAGCAATGCAAATAAATTAACGCCAACACGTCTAAGTAAATATTATCTCAGATTATATTAGTAATATCTATATTTTATTACCACATTATTGTCCCGAAAATTGCATTATATCTTATAATAAAAAATCGTAAAAAAAAAAAAAAAAAAAAAGGGGCAATTGCCCAGAGAACGAAATAGGAAGCAGAGGTCCTGGAGAAGAAGAGTGAGAGCATGAGGACCAAACCAGCGGCTGTGTTCATGGCCTTTGGCACAAAAGGAGACGTCTATCCTATTGCTGTAAAACTCTCTCTCTTTCTCTCTCTCTCTCTCTCTCTCTCTCTCTCTCTCTACATATATAAGACACACACATGTATAAGAAGAATTTGTTTCTAAAAAGATTTGCTCTGCTTGGTAAAGTTCGAAAATTGCACTGATTTTTGGTCGCGTGTTGATTGGTTTTTAATGGGAATTTAACCGGACTTTGTTAAATGTGGTGCTAACAACGACAGAGTTTTTCCCTTACAGAAAAGATGGCTCTTGTTTGTCATTGCAAAGAAGTTGCTTCATTTAACCTTGTGATAAGTATGTTATTGTTTGCAGGCCATTGCTGCAGCTTTTGCTTGTGACCAGGAGCAATACCATGTGGTTCTAATAACTCATTCAGCACACGAGGTATGCCGAAAATGCTATACAATTTGATCTTTCACTCTGTCATACTGTAAATTGCATATACATGTTATTTTTATTTTATTTTCTACACACCCATTATCGAAGGTAGAGGAGATACCACCAAGCTACAGCTCTTGGTCATGCTTTGTATGCATTAATCAATCGATCAAGAACAATCTTAATTTGGGTAGGATTGTATTGAAATTCAAAAAATATTCTGAAAGAGTGATTACTTGTTCATCTCTAGGGTGCTAGGAGAATTGGACATCAGAAATAAACCCCTCCTTGCTTTTAGGCTATTTAAAGGTAGCTCCTTCTCCTTTGTAATTTCATAATCACATCATGTGATTTTGTAACATCTTAAACCTCAATTTTGGGATTTTTTTTTTAAATTTTTTTTTATATGATCTCATAATTGGTTTTACAAAAAAAAAAAAAAAGAAAAAAAAAAGGGAAGGAGAGAAAGAAAAAGCCTCAAGTTAAAACTCTATTGTTGATTGAACAACTTTATCTCTTAACAATATTGATTTTAAAATAAATTATGTTTTAGATGAAGCAAAAGTGAAGCCCGAATGTAACAAGCTTCCACCTCATACTTCCTATAGGTTAGGTTCATCTGATATTTAGGTTTTAACTATTTATAATATAGCTGTGGTTAACTTCGTTACTATCTGGTCATTAGTTGATACATGGCCATCCACATTTTTTCCCCCTTGGTTGCCATCCACTTGTTTATTTTCAAGTATTTGAATATTTTCACCTTAATTTAAAAAATTGTTTAAATTTACTAAGTTTCAGTAACGTTTCCCTTTCTTGGATGAAATTGATATTTGATGGTGAATTTTGTATAAAGGTTACACTTGGCTTCAATTTCTAAGAGAGAAGGCTTTTGACAAAGAAGGCTGAAACAGGTCCAGCTATTTGAGAAATGTGGTCGGATTTTAAATAATGTTTAAGTGTCTTTTTGTTTTGATAAAGTGAAATTAGGCGAAATGAGGGTAAAATACGGAATCAATTGTTAAATGTTATGGGAGAATTTGCAAATTTGTTATCGTTGTTGTTGTTGTTGTTATTTCATAGCCATTATTGCCTCTAGGAGTCCTGTATACTCTTAGTTTTATCTTTTCCTTATTTGGTATGGGTAGAATTCCTCATCTTTTACCACCAAGCCTTTAGCTCAAGTGATATATCCTCGTCCTTTGTAGGTTGAGGGTTCAAGTCCCTATCTGGGCATATTGGGTTTATGATCTTACTTAAAAAAGAAGAAGAAGAATCCAAATACTTTATATCCTTATGAACTTATCTCTGTATTTAATTCTCTTTTATATCCATATATTTTCCCCAGTTATTTATCTTTTTATATTTAATGGGAAAATTACTTATCAAAAAAAATATTTAATGGGAAAATCAACTTAAAGGAGGTCATATCTATGAATAACTTCTTAGGTGATGGTCTTAGAAATAGTTTATTTAATTTCCCCTTATTAGATCATTGTTTGATGATCACAGATTGGTTTATAGGTATATGCTGTTTATATGGTGTAACTATTACCTGATTGTATTAGGCTGGGTTGTGGTGGTCCTGGATGAAGTAGGTTGGTTAAATCCCAGCATACTGTTAAGGAGTCGGCAAAATTATGATATTTGCCAGTGTGTCTCTGAACATGACTCAATCCTAAATTAGGTCAGACTGGCCTTCCTTGTGCCTTTGGCCCGACCTCCTGGCCTTAATTTCATATGCAGAAAATATCAGCGTCAGCTGTAATCCTTTCATCTTAGAGCTCTAAATATTGGTATTATCTTTTCGTATTTCTTGCATTTCCTACTTGAGATCAGTGTACCATGGGCAAAAGTATCCCTGTAATTAAGAGGATAGATTTGTTTAGTGTAGAAACTGTGAAAGAGGAACTATAGAGCAGATGAATTCTTAGTTGCTACCCCTCTCTACCCTTTTTAAATGGAACACTACACTATAATCACTATTAACAATCTCCAATTAGCATTGTACGACTAAACCCACTCATTATTGGTCTTTTTGGTAAACTTTTTGGCAAACTTTTTGGCTTCAGCAAAAAGAATATGGAAGAGATTTCCATGGGGCCCTTTCGTCCCTTTAGACCATTGCTATCCAAATTTTTTTCCCTCATGATTTTATTAGACGCTCCAATAATTTAATCTACTTGCAACAATAATAAATGGGATTTTATTTGGTTATCTGGCAGAATTTAAGAGTTCATTTGGCGGGAAAAAATGTAGCATTTCTTCAAGTTTCATCACCACCTGTTGTTTCTCCTTATGAGGATAATGGTACTGGCGTAATGCAGGTTTCTATTGCTGAATTGTGTCTTATTTTTATTAGTATGGTTTTATTTTTTTTTTTATTTGAAGAAAAAAGTTGTCCTCTTTATAGTATGAAAGAACTTAGCAGCTCCATACTTCTACAAAGTCCTAACAGCTCTTTCTATATTTTGCCAGGGTTTATGAAGGCATCTTTTGCTCTGCAGAAGACAATAGTTACAAGACAACATAGACAAGAATGCCTTTCTGTATTTGAAAGAATCTTTGGTGATGGCCCAAGCATGGAGAGTGATTTCATTGTGATAAATTTCTTTGCATTGGTATGTTTGATAAAAACTTTAAGGCAAAGTTAACCTTTTGGCCATATATAATTTACTAGAGTGGTCTCATTGTTTGAGTGCTCTTTAATGAATATTTCCTTAACTAAAAAAAGAAAATGAAAAAAAAGAACGGTCTTACTGTTATTTTCTTGGTTTTGATGGAATCAGCTTCCGATGGGTATGCTATCTTTGAAGAGTTCTAAAAGTTGTATAGGGATTGTTTGAAACTCTCTGTAAGATGTCCGTAGATGTTTACAGATGTGTCCATTTATGTATGTAAGTTGAAATATTGTAACTAATTCTAATTACCTAGAAAAGAAAACAAAGTTCTAATTTTCTTTATGAGCTTATGTGTTTATGTAAGCATCACGGGTGGGAGAAAAGGATGGAGGAGGTATCAAAAATCAGTAGAGAGAAATAGAGGGTGTGTAGTCAATGATTGATAGGTAAAGGAAAGAGTAGGCGTAACATACGCGTCCCTGCAGGGACAGGCATGTACCCACTTTTATTCATGCTGAATTTTTATGGAAAAGTGTATTGAAACAAATGAAATTATCATTATTCTTTTTCTAAAAAAATGTTATAATTTTCAAGCTATGGTGTAATGATGAATCTGAAATTTTTCCATTTTATGTGGTCCAGGAAGGTTGGAGCCTTTCAGAACTATTTCATGTCCGATGTGTTGTTGCTGCTCCTTATGTTGTTCCTTATAGGTAGTGGAAGACTTTTTATATGATTTTACATGAGAAATTTCTTACTATTTTATTACCAACAAATGTAAATTCTAATTTTTTTTCCTTACGCTTGGTGATCTCTCTTATTTGTGAAAGAGTGAATGCAATACTTACCAAAAAAGAAAAAAAGAAAAAAAGAGAGAAGAAAAGAAAGAGTGAATGCAATGGAAATGTAAGTGACATTCAACGTCCTTTTAAGGAATTGTCTCTGTATCTTTTACCAATTTATGAAGGTCCACTGAGGGTTCTGAAAGTGTCTCCTATTGTTTTGTTCCCTCCCTGCCTCCCAGTGAGCACAAATCTTGAAGCTACAGATTTACAGAAATCATATTCTGATCCTTGGTGTAATTTACAGAAATCATATTCTGATCCTTGGTGAAGAACTTTTTAAAAGCAATTTGGCGATCTTTTTTAGATTGTTTATTAAATTGCATTGCAGTGCTCCTTCATCATTTGAACAGCACTTCAGAAAAGAACTACCACTTCTACATGAATATCTTCAGCAAGCTCCTACAAACAAGGTGAGTCATGATATATTTTAGTTTAAACACCATTGATGGTTTCATAATATTATTATTATTTTTTCATTGGCAAGAAACACACTCACACACCCACTTCCCCTATGGGGACTTGAACCCTGGACCTTCCCCTTTGGAAGGTGAGGAAATACGACTAGGCTACAGAGCCTTTGATGGTTTCATAATAATTTTCTGTTGATCTTATGATACGTTCTTATAGATTGATAGAGTGCAAAAGATTGCAAACTGTTTTTCCTTACATGTTATATTATGTTAGATTATGGCTTTAAATTTTAGTTTATAGGTTTTGATCTTTTTTTTCCCTCCATAACCAATGCCCTAATTCAGATAATGTTGTTGAGGTTCATAATAGTCTTCTTAATTGAGTTTTCACCTTTTTATGCAATTAGGTTTGTTGGAAAGATGTTATGCACTGGATGTGGCCACTTTTTACTGAAGATTGGGGATCATGGAGAAGTGCTGATTTGAAGCTAAGCCCTTGGCCTTTCACGGTTTGTACTTACAGCTTTGAAGAATTCTTCATATACTCTATATATATGTATCTTGGACTTGAATTATTTACTAAATAAATTCGTGCTACCTGTGATTTTTTTGGCTGTCTGTTTAGTTTCATCAAGATGTTTTATCCATTGATCCAGGATCCAGTAACTGGCATTCCAATGTGGCATGATAGGCCTTCATCTCCTCTACTACTGTAAGATTCAAGTACCCATCAGAGAAAGGCTATGCCTTTAAGGACTGCTTCCAGAATAAACAAGATAATGATAGGGTAATTTAAAATTTGTATATCTGAATTTGGCTGATCTTCTCTTACCTTGTTTCATTAGTGTTCCATGATTGCCCATTCTCTGGTAATCCACAAAGTTCCTACTCCAACTGGAAGTTTGAATTGTTCTCTTCTGTTTCTTTTCCTTTTTCTATTGACCAATGAGCTATGTTACATGGAATTGAGTTCGTGCATCGGTATACACATCTAAGTGCTGAACATATCAAATTTATGAACCTAAGGGCATAGGGACTCAGCTGGATATTTATATTATTTAATATCCTTCTTTATTTCTAGGGTAAAAAGGGGGTTTTATGTAAGATATAGTGTTCAATACGGACACTTGTTTTGAAACTCATGTAACAAAAGGAACATAATAAGAAAGCTTCATGTAAAATTACATACTATACTTGTGAGTTATTGGATATGATTGCTGGGTGCATGCCTGACCAGATAATGTTGGATGCATATCTCTTATTCAAACCCAAGTGTCTTGTGTCCCAGTCGGGTACTTAACTCATTTAGAAGAGTGATGTAATGTAGCCCATGAGTTAAATTAAAACCCGTTCTCTTTTGTAGCCACATGAAAGAAAAGAAACTATGTGCTCCACACCAACAAAAATTGTTTAAATTAAGTTCGCTCTTCATTTTTTTTTAAAGATAAGAGTTAGAATGACATCTTATTGTTTAATCTTTATGTTCATTTTGTAATTTCTTCATTGGAAAGTAGTATTATTTATTTGATTCGTCAGTATTTGCCCATGGCAGGTATGGATTTAGCGAAGAAGTTGTTGAATGTCCTGGTATGTTGATTTCGTTTCCTTCATCAATATAATGTTTTTGTCGACTTTGTGGTCTCTAAATCTCATTTCATCAGCTTTGTGGTTTGTATCATTGGAAGTAGATTTCTTTCTATGCAAATGCTCAAAAGAATCTAGCTCAATGAATGACTTATTCTGGATCATATTAACCTTTAATTATTGTAATATCAAGAGAAATTATTGGAGGTAACTTGATTTTCAAATTTTCTGAATATGAAATGATATTATATAATATAATACTACTCTGTGGTCTGTACAAGATATTTATTAAAATTCTTTTAAGATTATAACGAGTTTGTTCTTAATTTTAGCCACATATGTGCTTGGCTTGTTAATAGGACCTTGATTTGATTACTGTTTTTATATTTTACTACTTTGATATGTTTTCTGGTAGTTGTTAACTAAAAGAATTTTCTTGTCTGTGCTCCGCAAGGGAGGGAGTTTTGTGTTATCCGTCAATTAGTATTTGTGCAAATATTCGTAAATATTGCACATATGTTTTGTCATCCAAACTGAATGTAGAAGAGGATCACCTGCTCTCTGATTGTTTAGATGCTAGCTCCACTAGGACAGGTAAGGTTGAATGTAAACAAGCCAATCGTACTTGAGATTCAGTTGCTTGACTGAGTGCCGCCCATGTGGGCTGGTCAGTTTGTTTTGATCCCATTAGGGTGTTATATATTTATGCACATACATACATATTTCTGCATCTTTTTAAAATGTCCTTTTCATAATTTCCTTTAACTGGATATAATTAGAGCATTTTTTTTTTTTCACAAAATAAATTTTTAATAAAAAATTCTGAAACTATTTCAAAGGGTAGTGAAAATGAAATATTAAAAAAAAAGTTATATAAGGAAAATAACTGCTGAAAATGCTTAGTGAAACATTTGAAACTAAGCATGATTGTTTGCACAACGGGAAAGGTCTCCGGTTTATCTCTCCATCTATCAAGTTGGACAAAGGATATTTTCATGAGCCTATGCTAAAGTTTCAATCAATTCCTGCCAATATTCAGGTCAAGAGAATAACAACAAAAATACAGTTACCCAATTGAACATCCATGCCCAGACTGAAATGTTAGACAATTTTGCAACATTTCTCAAGTTATGGTGGTGACCGGAACTGGGTTGTTTGATTTAGTTCTGATGGTTTCATACTTCAATCTTGGGTTACACAAGTGCTAGCAGACACTATTCGGGAACTGACCCCTTAATTGTTGTATTATAAGTGAATTCGATGTTATGTAACTTCTAATAAATATATTACAGTATAAAAAATTATGAAGTATATCAATTATTACACTCGACTATCACACAATTTCATTTTTATTGAATTTCATAGTAGAAGTCAATGAAGTGGCTTTAGACATCACACTGTGAACTAACTTGAGCCCTTTTGACCTCAACGTAGGCTGATTTAAATTTGGTCAAGGTCACATTTGATTCGGTTCTGAGTTGAAAAGAAATATTACTGACTTTGGTCTGTTTAGATCTTGTTGAGGCTAATTGAAACCAATCTAATCTGACTTGCACCTTACATGAGTTACCTAGGTGATTGCCTGGGTTATTCACTCAACCAAAGTTGAGCTATTTTGTGCAGATTCATGTCAGTTATTTGCACAATTAGAGTGGGTTGGTGAATTTGTTTCTGAAAGGGGGCTTTAGAAGTGTGCATCTACACACACCCACACAGTGAGAGAGGAAGTGGAGGAGGGAGAGAGTGGGGAGGAAGGCAGCTTTAATTGACTGGCCTCAATTGGAGCTAGCTATAAACTGGCCTGCAACTTGCTCTCCATCGTAATTTTCTTATTAAGCATGCCAAACAAATTCTATTCGGCTTGGCTTATTCGTTCGTACATGCATAAATCATTTTTTCAGCAAATACAACTAGCCTAAAGGATAATTCAATCTTTTTCCTCCAAAATTTTTGCAAGTGAAACATGGGATGACCTGTATAATCCATCTCTCTCTCTTTCTCTCTCCTCTACATTTTCCAGTCAACATGTTTGATCAATAGTTCTTATCTTCCTGCTCTTGAACCAGGTGGAATTTCTGAATTTCCTAACCATGAGATACAGTCCAACACCACAATTTCAGCCACATTATAGATCTGTATTGAGTTAGCAAACACCGTAGAGCCTCGAGACTAAAGGAGGAGGCTATCCAGATCAAATTATCTAGCTTCATTAAGTTCTTATGGAAATAGATTGTTAATAAACTTCAAATGGGATAATGATTATACCTATGCAGACATGATTTGTTATAGAACATGATATTTCCTATGCCAACTTGTGTCTGAAAGTGTCTATTTCTCTTTCCCCCTTTTTTTTTTAACATAATTACTCTGCTGCAGGACAAGAAATTTCTGCATTATTTATGTTTGTTTCCCTGTACATTAACCCTCATATGAATACAGGTTACTGGCCTTCAAATGTTCGGGTCTGTGGCTTTTGGTTTCTCCCTATGGAATGGCAGTTTTCGTGCAACAAGTGTGGAGAAATTTCAGCTTTGATCTCTTCAGGGCATTTGAACACAAAAGATGAAATGTGTTCAGCTCATGCTGAGTTACAATATTTTCTGATGACTTCTGTGTCGCTGCCACCTGTTTTCATAGGTCTGAGCTCTATTGGAAGGCAAGTTTGTATGTACTTGAGTATATTTTAGTGTCTGTCTTCAAATACATTGCTTAGGCAAGTTTTATTAGACAATCAATATTTGAAAGGCCTAATGTTTGTTTCTGATGTGGAATATTACATTTGTCTTATTGACAAGTGTGACATACATAATTGTATTTTGAACTTTGCACGCCCTCGTTCTTTGGAAGTGGTAGGAGATCCACTCAAGCTAAAATCTTGTGGCAAGTAATACTACACCTCATTTGGAAACTTAAAAAACAACGAATTAAACATGTTTCTGGAAACTGAACTATGTTATAGAATTGCTTACTCCATTATTTGCTTAAGAAATACATGCACAGGTGAGGTATACAAATCCTTTTTTTTTGGGTATTACATGTAAAGGATTTTATAGTTTTTCTATGTTCATGTTATTGTTTTCAAGTTTTATAATGGTCCGTCATTTTTTCCATGAAATTTTGTGGACTAATTTTAGCTTCCGAGGGAAATAAAATTTGTACTAGAGTCGAATCTAAAACCTTGGAAAAGACTCTTTGATAACATATGCTTACTGCAAAAAGTTTCGGGGATGTTTTGTTAAACTTGGTAATATTGGATGTGTAATATTAATAGCGTTCTTCTGAATTTGAAGTAATGTAAAACATGCTAGTTGATTCCAAGAGAACATATTTGTTGCATATATCTTTCCCGATCCTTCTTTCTTGGTGATGAATTCACATTGTGAGCAGGTCTTTGTTTCTGCTGTTCAAGGGTTCATTCCTTGACTATTTAATTGCATTATAGCAAATATTTGAATGTAGCCTGTTGTCACTCCTCAATTTGGATGGGCTATTAGTTATTTCTTTTGTCAATGTTTTTGTATGGATTAAGGTGGTGGGATTTCTTCATTTTCCTATTTTGTTTCTCATTTTTTTTTTTTTATTATTATTATTTTTATATATTTTGTATTTAGCTTAGTTTCTTATTTCACATGCAGCATGGGTTTTTTAAGGAACCCTCGAGCATTTCTTCGGGTTCTTCAAACTGTTTTGGACATCACAAGTCACAGATTCATTCTATTCTCAGCTGGCTTTGAACCATTAGATGCTGCAATCAGAATGATTGCTGCTGAAGCATTATCAGGTTCAGAAAGATTGCAACTCAGTGAGGATGGCATCTCCCTCTTCGGTGGCCGACTCTTCTGTTTTTCTGGGTGAGCACTTCCTTAATAACTTGATTTGAGTAGTTGGCTGCTTTTTCACTTTGAAACCTAGAGAAGATGGTAAAGTGATTATATCAGAAAGTAATTTATGTAGAAGTATAATTTTGAATAAAACTGGGGCTGGTTTTTAAAATCATCAAGATATGGGAAATATGCCTGGTGCTGGTGCTACCATTAACTTAAAAATAGGATTCTAGTTGTGCCCAAACTTGGATTCACTGTGTCTCTTGAGACAACTTTACTCGAGTTTTGCTGATGTAAAGTCAACTTTATAAAAATGTGTTCTTATTTGCTAATACTTTGATAAGGTGTTTCGATGGACATATATAAAAGAGCAATCACTTCGAGTTTTGTTATTTAGAGGCTTCTGGCATTAATTTTTGTTCTTTGGTGTGTGTGTATATATACATAAATATTTTATATAAATATGTATAATCAACAATGTAGTTGAAACTGTAGCCATCTCTGTGTATGCTAGTTTTGGAGATTGATGGGTGAGACATTTTAATGGAGACCAGGACTTTTGGAACACGTGTTACGGTGACCCTAACTCCTACAAAATCATTTGAACATGCAGTTCTCTCAATATAATTAGTTAATTACTCCCTTCTTTCCTTTTTTGTTGTCCCACTATAATTGTCATCTTGAACGGTCAAAGTAGGTAGATTGCATCTTTCCAAAAACATCCTTTCAAGTTTTGAAAACATTATATATATTCAAACATCAAAGAGTAAGTTAGGAATTTTAAAAAGGGGACAATGTATTAGATGTACGTCTCCTTAAAAGTTGAAATCCAGAAAAGTTACAATTAAACTGGGACTGAGGGAATAACTAATTAGGGAAACATGCTGACATGCATGGGAGTAAAGAGTTTGGAATTACCTGCAAGAATCAGATGTTCCTCATGCACTATTACGGGGATGTCTAACAATTGAACCCTTCTTGTTTCATCTAATCATTTTGGCATGTGTGGACAATGGCCTCTTGGTAAGAGAGAGGATGGAAAAGAAGATCAGAAATTCAAAATAAATAGATTCAATGACCTCCAGGAATTAGCGTCAACCCCTCATGACCAGGGAAATCAGTTTATCTCAGCCTTTAAGGATAATATCTATAATTTTATGCATGTGGGAATTGTAAAAGTGTTCCTACCACACCTTTCAGAAAAAAAGAAAAAAAAAGTGTTCCTACCACCACATGAGAACCACCGTTAGTCAACTGCTTCTAGAATGTGAAAGAGGAGCAAGGCATTCCAAAATGGCCAGCACCTTCGTTAAATGAATTCCAATCATTTATTTACCTGCAGCTGGAGAATTTAGATGACATGGTCATAGAGTCACTTCATATTTCCCTGGATTAACTCTTGGCAAATGCAGTGTCTCCTTGTGTAATATGGATTCCATGCATTGCAATGGTTCATGTCATCTGAATTCGCTTCACCAAGCAATAACTTTTTCATTGGTATTATAGTTTATTTTAGCGGTGATTTAAAATCTTATCTCAAGCACGTTATTCATGTAGCAGAGTTACCATCTTATGTTGTGAAATGTATTCTATACTTGTAATTGCTATTTAGATTTGTAATCATTTACACGTTCTGTAGTTTGAGATGTCTTGTTCTCATGTGATTAGAACCATACCGTACAACTGGGTGTTTCCAAGATGTGTTGCTGCAATTCATCATGGGGGCAGGTGAGAAATCTTGGTGATTTCTTTTGATATTATTTGTTCTATTGAAAGAATTATGCACCTTGCCATGTTACTAAATGTATGCATTGGTTGGGCTCGATGTTAATATGTTATACCAGTGGATCCACTGCTGCAGCACTACATGCTGGAATTCCACAGGTTTATTTTTGAACTCTTTGCTTCGTTATCTTAATTTTATCATCCTTCCAATGTTTAGTGTGATATCTAAAGTATAATGTTGATTCTATGGTTTTTGCTTGCATTTCCAAACATTGAAAGCTCAGGGCCATTATAGTTGTATTGTATGAGTAGAGAATTTAAGGAATTGGTTCTAGGCTTTGTGAGCAAAGGAAGTAAAAGAGAGGTGGTGATATGATAAGAGAAGTGAAGATAATTTATGTTGTGCTCCCATGACCGCCTAGATTTTAAAAGTGGACTTGAAAAGAAATAGAAAATTTTATGAAATAGACTTGATAGCAGTGTCTGTGCAATTGTGGAAACGTTCCAATAATCCTTGTTTTTGTTGGCTATTGCCTTGGGAAGCTTTGCTAATTTCTGTTACTAAAGTATCCGTGAGCAAATTTGACATGCATCTGCACCAGTCTATATATTTTATTCTGATAGTTTGGCTGGTTTATGTGAATCGCTAATGGATGCTTATCAAAAGTTCATTTAACTTTGTATGCTAGCTTCCTAAAGTTGAATTTCCAACACGCCCATACCCTCTCTTTCTATCAACTGATTGAAAATTAGATGGCAGGTACTATGTCCATTTATGCTGGATCAGTTTTACTGGGCGGAGAGGATGTTTTGGCTTGGAGTTGCCCCGGAACCTCTGCAACGAAGCCAATTGCTTCCGGATGAAGATGATACATGCATAAAAGAAGCTGCAAATGTGCTAGCCAGTGCCATAAATTACGCATTATCTCCTAAAGTCAAATCACGTGCATCAGAAATTGCTGAAAGAATCTCTCTTGAGGTAATTCTTGATTTTGGAAGTTATCGGTGCATTTGTTAGGGTTTTGTGATATCTAGTGGGAATTCGTTCACATATCCATTATACTATATAATATTACACATTTATAATTAATTGAGAGTTGGAGAGAGTTAGCAAAATTCCACATTGTTTATGCCTTTTTAGTTCAAAACCTTGTCTCCGACCCTGTGCACCTCGTATTTATGTTTAATTTTATTTACTGAGCAAATTTAACATGTAGGGGGATATTGGATTTCTCAGGAAATTTTACTTGGAGGATTTGTGAGTCATTACGGCCATAATCTAGCAGAATCACAATTTCAGCTTTGTTAGTTTTTTGGCATATTGTTTTCAGTTCGAAACTAATGTGACCTCTAAAACATAGCAATGTGCTGGGAAGTGATGAACCGATGATTTCTCTCGCGAACATGAATCAGAAATGCTATAAATCTGACATTCTTGAGCACTTTCTGCAATTTCTTGCAGGACGGAGTTTTGGAAGCAGTGAAGATCCTCAAGAAGGAGATGAGCTGTTCTAATTCTATGAAGCATTAACACCAGATTCATGCCATTTTTTTCTTTTCTTGGAAGTTTTTGTCCCCCACTGTTTTATGTTTTATTATTATACATTTCAACTTCAAGAATTTTGTTTTGTTTAACAAAAAAGTGTGACTATTTTGTTTCTCATATCAGTATTCTCTCTTTTCAAAGGTTAGTGTTATGCTAGATTAGTGTTGTGCTATGGATTATTTGCAACTTCGGTTTCAAAGTAAAGCAAACATTATCATATAATTGTTGAAACCGTGAGGAGGGGTGCACATTGTTCGGTTTCGGTTTAAAACTAGAGTTGTAAGAATTCTGTAAAAATTGGAATCGAATTGAACCAAAGAAATCGCCTAAACTGAAACAATTCTATGTTCAAATCATAGAAGAACAGTTTGGATTTATCAGTTTTAAGGATTAGCTTACCTAAGACAAAATCTAAACCTTGCCGTGTTATAAATAAAATTTCGACTTTCTAGTTCTAAAATCATTTAGCAAAATAGAAATAATGCAATATGCTGAAGAGAAATATAATTTTATTAATACATATTTGCAAATGAGGATCAAGGTTAGAAAATTTTGTATATATAACCTTGGTTTACAGTAATGCAAGCTAATGTTAACAAAACATCACCAAAAATAAAGTAAAACAAGTATATATATAAAATCAATTCTAGTAGTTTAAAGTAAACTAAACTCCTGATTTACACCCTAACAATTGGGGGGACGTAGCTCATATGGTAGAGCGCTCGCTTCGCATGCGAGAGGCACGGGGTTCGATTCCCCGCGTCTCCATTTTCTCTTTTGTCCTACTTTTTTTGTTTTTTCCCCTTTACAGACGAACATTGAATGTCCTTCGTTTCCCATTCCTTCTGCTTTTCCTTTACTTTTGGAAGGGAAAAGATACATAAAACAAACATCTATGGCTTTTGGTGATCAAAGTGGGTGGGCCCCACTTAATCACTGTCACAGACACAATAATTAATATATCTATATATGCTTTTTCATTCATCATACAAAATTAATTCTAGGAAGTAGTGTGACCTGTTTAGTTGCTAATTTCTTTGAGTCAAACCATGGATGAGAAGATAGAATTATCTGATTGGGAACTCTTCAATTATTAATAATAATAGGAAACATTAAATTTTTAAAATTTTTTTTCTTTCTTCAATTTGTAATTGGCAAGAAACTCAATCATTCTTTTATTCTTACATAAACTCGAATCCTCGCCATTCTCTTGAGAAGTAAAAAAGACTATATATAACTTTTGGTTTTAAGCATGTATTTTTGAATAAGCAAGAAGGAATTTTTTTTTTTTTTTTTTTAGTTTAGTTCTTACGTAGATTCAGAGACTCGAACTCTTACCATTCTCTTTAAGAAAGAGTGGACTATATAGCCTTCGATTTTAAGCATGTATTTTTGAATCAAAGGAAGTAAAAAAATATTATTAATTAGTTTTGAAGTGAAGAAAACAAAAGTTAAAAATAGTGTTTTATTATACGATGAATACTTAGAAAAACAAGCGAGAGAATCATTATAAAAAATTTAAGCAAATTTTTTTTAAAAAAAATTATTTTATAATTATTTTTCTCCAACTCCTTCATTTCAATGCAATATTACATAATAGAATTATTTCAGATGAATCATGAAAGGTAACATATGGTCCGTATTGCACTACAAATCAAAAGGTTCAATGTATCATCGATTTGTTCAAAATACTTTGCTTGAGAGTAAAAGTGAAAAGTGTTTTTTGTCAAAAAAGAAAAAAAAAAAGAAAAGAAAAAAAAAAGACATATTTTGAAATAATTGTACAGTATTCACAAAAATGTGACAATAGTACTGGTGCCATAAATTTAAAGAAATGAACCACGGACCATCCCTTGAAACCCACGGCAACATTTGAAAATCAACACCTCTATCACATCAATTCTCAGACTTGGATTCTTTAGGGATTGCGCTGCTTGGAGGATCCTTGTTGAACACATCAAATGTTCCCCGTCCGCCTGATTAACCAAACTGCGACCAAAATGCAGACCTTCATTTGGACACCGGAATTTGGTTCAGATGAGCTCGGTTAAAATTCATCTTTTGTTCTTTGGCTGGGCTTGGGCCCCAGGTTGCCTATTTGGGCCTGTTTTTGCCCCTTGGGCTTGTTTTACTTAAGGTCATATAATGGGCTACGGCCCCAACTTTGTACATTTAACTTTATATATCAGTTGCTTTATTTTCCCCAAAAAAAGAAAAAGAAAAACAAGAAGTTGAATATATATATAGCCAACTAATGAGAAAGAAATTCAAAAATAGAACAACTTAGATTTTAAGATCTCAGTTTAATTTGTCTATACAACCCTTTGACCAATGTATTTCATATTTCTATGTACAATTACTGTTAGAAAATAAGCTGTCATGTTAATTAGATCTAATGTCGATTGTGTCAAAAACTTAAATTCTACAAAGAATGAACCCAACACACACACACACACACACACATACACATATATCAAACACATGCTTGCAATTCATTTTGAAAGTATGTATGGCCAGTCCACGAGGAGGATCGGAATACTTTCAACATATATGCAGTCCTTAAGTTGTGCTCAACTCATCCAACGGTGAACAGGTTGATCCCTACATTCCCACAAATGAGAAAATAAATGAATTACTAAAAAAATATCTTGGTCTTAATTAATTAATTATACTTTATTTCAATTTATAAATATCTTACAAGTTTGAAAAGAATTAGGGTTTCAATATTTTGCATATAAAAATGGCAGCTTGGAACACTATTCCCAAGCATAATGCTTCTGGGAATCCAATGCCCAAACCCAAAATCCAAGCGGCTCAATGCCAATGACATTACACCATCCATGCGTTGCAATCATCAAAATGCTTTAAACATGAAAAGTCACAGTCTCACTATCATTACCTACCATGTTAAAAGTTCAAAAGATTAATTTTAAAAAATATAAAGCAAACAAATATATACGTTTGCAGCTTTTCCAATTCATGTAAATGGTTGACCTAAGTAATTAACCAAAACAATGACAAAATATAAGTTTATATACACACACACACACACACGCCAAGAGACATGTCTGTGTTAAATTTACTTTAATCAACCTGTATCTGGATTACACATTCTTCTGCAAAGAGATCGAAGTTGTAATTGCTAGATATATATATTTGATCTAAATTGATCTTTATATATATATATAATTGACGAAATTGATCCAACAGTCCTTTAGCTGCATCGATATATATATATATATATATATATATATATATATATATATTTGTTTTGAAAAAATTAAAGTAAATTATCGATTGATACGTGCTCGGCAACATATAAATTTACTTGGACACACTTACTTCATAAATTAATATTGTAGGCTAGACTCCTAGATGATGGACATATGCATGAACTTCCTGGTCCCAATCTGTTTACCCTAAGGCACTCATATATATATATATATATCAACTTAGACACTCATATATATATATATATATATATATATTATGTATGAATCATGCTGATCTCATCAAAGTGTTTAGAGTTCATTAGGGTTTATCAGAGAGAAACTTACAGAGCTAGTTTGACATGCTGGCCACCTCCAAACATGATGAAAATTTGTATACATATGATCATAGGGTGCCAAGAACTTTTGATGGAGGTGGACAGAATGCCAAAATGTCTCTGCAATAAGCTCCTGAAAAACCCTATAGTGAAAGAGAGAGATGCATAATTGTGTAAGGTGAGATGCATTTGGAAAAGTTATATTATTTGATGTTTGTGTGTGTGTGTGTGTGAGAGAGAGAGAGAGAGAGTGTGTTTGAAAAGTGGTCTTGATTTGTGTAGAAAGAGGGTGGCATGAGCGTGCATGGTGTTTGTACGAATTGCGGGTGAAATGGCGGGCGTTTTCATTTTACTTCTTTTTAGTTCGTATCCCCTAAAACCAGATTCATTATACGCTGGAAATCTCTGCTGTAATTGTTGTACCTTTTGGAACGAGAAGCCCTTTTGTTACATATTTTAATGACTAAATGGCCCCTAGGTGCAACCATTGCTGCTTTGTTCGTCAATGGGGTCATGTGATTCTCATGTGCCTATTCATGCCTTTTGACTTGCCGCAAAAGGAGAATGGCAAAATTGGCTGTTATTGTCTCCCACTTAGTTTGTAGTTACGTTGTCAACTCTCTTTTTAATATATGAGTCAATTCACACCTCCACCAATAGACTAAGTACAGTCTCTAGTGACTCTGAAGTCGTGAATTTTGTTAGCGTTTGAATTTAAAATTAAAATAAATTTAACTTTTTTTGATGTCCGAATGTTCAGCCACATACTTTGAGTGCATGAAATTTTGGTACTATATTTTTTAGGCCTTTTTTTTTTCATGAATGTTGTTGAATTTTATTTCTTTTTTATAATCTCAAATATAGCATTAGCATTCTTTTTTGTTGGAAAGAAAGTCCAAAATAGCAATTTCAATGAAACAGTCATAAACTACCTAAACGCCTTGAAATTGGGCTTGGTACCCTGGGCCTTTGCAATATTGCAACACAAGGGTATGCTTAAAAGGCCCATAATCTACTGCACCGGTCCTTTCCCTCAAAAAGACAAAATTTGAAATCATATGAGCCGTTAGCCATATACAACAATAATAACCAACCTTTTCCCAACAGCCATTGGGCCCATATGTTTTTGGTACTACATTGATCGAAGCCCAATCTTCCTCTATTTTTTTTTTCCCTAGTTGAATCTTTCTCTAATTGGGCCCAGTATAAACATCACCCAAGTTAAATTTTTCAAGAGAGAAAATTAATTGTTCTTTAAGTTTTCTTAATAATATATATATAAAGTTCGTACTCCTCCTAATACAAAATACTATCCATCTGTGTAGTGGTCTGATATCATAAATCTAACACATATGTCGATTTTTCCCAGAGTTTAGATCAATAATTTTTTTTTAACAAAAAAACAAACATAGATTAATTTTTTTGTTATTTGTGTTAAAGAAGAAAAATTAAAACTTGAACTAGGCTTGGTAGGGTGCGTCAGGCCCTTGCTATAGTGCAGGGCACGGGCAACGCTTAAAGGCCCTAAATAACAAGCTACTGTAGTGGGCCTTCCCCCTAAAAAAATAAATTTAATACCAGGTGAACCATTGGTCCACATATCAGATATTAAACTAATAAGAACAAATACTACACTCGATCTTAGGCAAAAGGCCGAGAAAAGTATGCTTTGAACTCTCTTGGGCTGCTTCTTTTATAACACAACTAATGGCCTTCCTTTTCATCTTTTAGTCAATATGGGTTGAAAACATAAATAAATCCCTCAAAGAAGGTCTCTCACGTATTTTCAAATTGTCATTTGCAATTGCATTAAACATATACTTTAACTTTTTTAATGTCTTCCATTGAGATGTGTACACAAATGTTGAAACTTTGGGTGGAACATCTTTGTTAGAGGGACAAGAAAGAAAAGGGCTTAGTTAGGGTGGCAATTTTCAATACGACTCAAGACACAATAAACGTATTTGGATTGTGATTGTGTTATTTTGAGTTTGGTTTAAATCGTAGTCTTCGGATTGTAATTATGTTGATTCAAATTAATATGATGATAATTAAACGTGTTTGAGTTTGACCTCTCAACTTGTTTGACTAACCATGTCGTGATCATGTTATAAATGATTCGTTTAACTAAATTTGTTAGATAAACCTGTAATAATAATCCTAATATTACGAAATTTTAATTAAACGTGTCGAGTAGTATTGTGTCAGGTTTTGAACAATTTATTAAAAGAGTTACGCATATAGTGTTTTTGCTCAACCCACAAAGCATCATACTCATGTTTTGACATGATACACATGACATGCAAATATATATTGCCACCCCCTTCATCTTTATGTTATGTACCAAATAAAAAAAGAATATTCTTGTATACGAAATTAAGACACCCATTTTACGTTTTCATGATAAGTTATTACATTTGTATGAAAAGTCGGTTATGTTCATATAACAAAATCACACTTGTAGAACTTTTCTTATTTTTATATATTTTAATATTCACAAAAAAAAAAAAATCACACTTTTCTTATTTATATATATTTTATTATTCATAAAAAATGTGAACAACCCAATTATATGACTTTTTTCGGCAGTTTACAACCGTGTAAAAGAAATAAAATTTTATATTAAAAGAAAGAAACATATTTTCTAAATAGTTTTAAAATATCACTTAATTACTTTTTTATTTGTGTGAGAGAATAAAAGTTAAAACTTGAACTGGGCTTGGAGGGGTGCGCCAAGCCCGTGCTACAGTGTGATGCTTAAAGGCTCCTATAGCAAGCTATTGTGGTGGACTCTCTCTCTCTGAAAAAATAAATTTAAGGAACGGATATTGTCATATTGTTATTGTTATTATTATTTTTTTTATATAGTAGTATAAGCCCGCCCTTGGCTTAATATGATTTTAACATGGCGCTTCTCCTCATGGGGATATTAGGAGATACCAGTTTAATTCAAAAGCTGGTGGTAAATTTTACTACTTAAATCAAACCTACTTTGATGTAAAATTCATTAAAGGTTGCCACAATATCCTCAGCAACCCTTTTCATGGGGTCAATACCCTAAGCTTTGAGAATCTTTACCGCAACTACTCATTTAATTATGTGATTTCTAGTTGTCCACGACCACTGCCACGTGCCTTTATAGGTGTATGTGAACCATTAAAATGCACTGTTTGAACAAGTTTGACTTCGTTTTAAAAAAAGTGGCAGCAACAAAAGGTGTTAGGAGATGCTCTTCTTTAGTCAGTAGACTACTAATGATGATGATGGTAAGAATAAGAGCAACAGCAATGATGTTGTCAAAGAAGAAGAAAATACCTTGCTCCAAACATTGTTATACACTTGGACAAGTTTAAACAAGAAAATCCTTACCCAGAAAAAAGTTGAAACAAGAAAATCTTGAATTTTGTTGTTGATTTTATGAGAAACTGCAAGTACGATTTGTTTTTGAAATTGTAGATTTTCAATGACATGGTTCAATTAAGGATTATTATAAGTACAGAAATCCAAAGCTGACAAGAGAGTGGAGGGGAGTAGATGTAACTCTAGTGCTTGTCCATAAGTACCCACATGAACTCAGGTCATTTAGAAATCCACAAAATTATGTGTCATCCCAAAAAAAAAAAAAAAAAAAAAAAAATTTCTTATTGTTTGTCAAAGAATCAAAAGGAATAAAAGTTACACTGTATTTTTTTCCCTTGTAATAATCCTCCTACCAAAGCAACAGAAATGTTCGAAGAGCTTGTTTGAAGAATTATGAGCAAACTATAAAATTTGAGTTGTATATGCTATTATGATAAAAATTGTAATGATGTAACAGTTAAGGGGGGAATTATTAATGGGCTAACCTAAGCTATAGCCCAGGTCTATTTTTTTTTTTTTTATAAAAATAGTACTACTATTCTTATAAGCGTAGTGCATATGTAATTAATTTGTAGTACTAGTCTTCATCTTCCTATTAGGCCAACTGTTCATGTGTTTATTTGGGCTATATGCGGTTACTATCCTTTTTCTTCGAACTGTTTGTGTTTATCTTTAATTTTTTTCCCCCTTAAGCAAGAGCATAAATTATGTTAATTAGAAAACACAATTGTTTACAACTACTAGAAAATGAGTAAACATCCAACTTTTCATTCAAATTAGGACATAAACTCATATTTCCTTGAACATGGGTAGTCTTATTTCAAAATCTAAGTACTTTTATCAATTAATAGTTGAATGGATGTTCAAAATTCAATTGGATAATCTTTTATTTTATTTTTACCCGGAAAACGAATTCCAATAGGTACTTTGATGGTGCATAACAAATATGTTTTTATATCTGATTTTAAGTTGAGATCTAAACTTAATAAATTAAGTTTCTAGGTCCTCTCGGATCGGATCTTAAGTAAAAAATGATCAATTTCATAATCTAGTTACTTGGACATGGAAGTAAGACCATATTAAACACAGTATGCCCTTATCACATCTCACTTCTACAAATTTTTTTTTTCTAATTTCACAACTTTGATTGTGTTCATCTTCAAATTTTTTTATCTTTAGCCTCCTTTACTTTGCAATACTTGGTAACATTTGTGTACCAGCCAACAAAATTGATTGTAATTCTATTGTTTCATCGTATAATTTAAATCTCATGAAGGAATTTTCTTAACTGAACATACATGATGTGACTATCTAAATAAAATTAAAATCTTTACAGAAAAAGCAAAATTTCACTTACCAAACCAGCAATTTTGAAAGCATTGAATTTAACAGCCACCCTTCTCGCATTTAGAGGTACTAAATTAGCAGTGGCTTGCAGATATTGGAGAGTGGCTTTAAACTTGATGGACAAGCTTAAAACCATTACAAGTTTATAATAACTGAGGAAAATATATTCACCACAGATAGTAAATTACAACCACCAAATTCTTACAATATAAGATTAGCCTCAGGAGTCAGGATCGACTAATAATACTTTGGTGTAACTACTCTGAACTAAAATCTATTTCAATAGGGAGTTACAGTTGTCATTAACATCATCCTTACCTTTAACCCAAATAAATGGGGCCGGCCAAACAAAAAGCTAAAGAGGGGCTTGAAGGGTATTACCAAACAGAGGATACCTCCCCTTCAGCTCTTCCTTTCTTTGATGTCCGAATGTTCAGCCGCATACTTTGAGTGCAGGAAATTTTGGTACTACACTTTTTAGGCTTTTTTCATGAATGTTGTGAATTTTATTTCTTTTTGATAATCTCAAATATAGCATTAGCATTCTTTTTTGTTGGAAAGAAAGTCCAAATAGCAATTTCAATGAAACAGTCACAAACTACCTGAACAACTTGAAATTGGGCTTGGTACGCTGGGCCTTTGCAGTATTGCAACACATGGGTATGATTTAACGGCCCATAAGCTACAGCACTGGTCCTTTCCATAAAAGAGACAAAATTTTAAATCATAGTATACACAATAATAACCAGCCTTTTTACAACAGCCATTGGCCCATTTGTTTTTGGTACTACACTACTTGATCGAAGCCTAATCTTTCTCTAACTGGGCCCAGTATAAACATCACCCGAGTTAGATTTTTCAAGAGAGAATTAATTGTTCTTTAAGGTTTCTTAAATCATAAATCTGAAACACGTCCACAATTTTATGATTTTTTCCAGACTTTTATGATTTTTTCCAGACTTTAGATCAATAATTTTTAGTCTACCAAAAAAAAACAAACATGAATTGGCTCACGTATCAGATATTAAACTGATAAGAACAGATACTACACTTTGAACTTTCTTGGGCCGCTTCTTTTATAACACAATTAATGGTCTCCCTTCTCATTTTTTTGTCAATGTGGTATGAAAACAATCAAAACATAAATAAACTCCGAAAGAAATGCTCTCTCACTTTCTCATTTTTTATTAAAGTACTTTCAAATTGTCATTGCATTAAAATATATCTTTTTTAATGTCTTCCACTGGAACAATTAGAGGGACAAGAAAGAAAGGGCCTCATACAACACAATAAACGTATTTGGGTTGTAATTGTGTGACTTCTGAGTTTGGCTCTATTCGGGTTGTAATTATATTGACTCAAATTTACAGGATGAAAATTAAATGCGTTGTGTTCGTATTTGATTTTTTAACTTGTTTGACTAAACATGTTGGAGATCTAATAGTATGAAATTCTAATTAATTGTGTACAGTAATATGGTGTCAGATTTTAAATAATTTATTAAACGGGTTAAGCATATTATGTTTGTGCGACTCATGTAACATTTTGCTCTTGTTTTGACATGATATAAATATGACCATGCAAAATATGAATTGCCACCCATTTTCATGTTTCAATCATGTTATACTGACTTTGTCGTAAATAAAAAATAGTATTCTTGTATACGAAATTAAGACACCCATTTTATATTTTTATGACAAGTTATTACAAAGAGTATTATTGTATATGAAATTAAGACACCCATTTTACATTTTTATGATAAGTTATTACATTAGTATGGAAAGTCACTGTTCATATAACACAAATCACAACTGTAGCCTTATACATGTTTTAAAAATAATAATGCTACTAAGGGAGTACTCTCATGAGAACACAGACACACCAGAAGACTCTCTACCGACTAGGCCATTGGGCAATGTCTGACTTTTATACTAACGGTTTAGTTCCCATTTATGTGGATATGAGAATTTCTTTATTTTTAACAATAAATAAAATTAAATAATAATAATAACAATTTTTCACAGTAATTTAAAGCTGTATTCTTCATCAGCGTCATGACAAATTAAAGTTGCATAAATCACAAATCTACAAAAAAACAATACCTATTCTCATGTTTTAAGGCATATCAAAGGCATAGTAATTTAAAGCTGGATTCTTCATCAGCGTCATGACAAATTAAAGTTGCATAAATCACAAATCTACAAAAAAAACAATGCCTATTCTCATGTTTTAAGGCATATCAAAGGCATATTTGAAAAATATTTTACTTTCAAGCTTTTAATTTTTGTAAAAAACAAATAAGTCCATAATGTATTTTTTATTTCTAACTTGTTTCTATTTTACTAGTTGATTGATGCCATTGACTCAAGCTTCGTTTGAATAAACATAAGAAAAAATAAAAATTAAGGATCAATCCATAATTTTGATGTGAGAATTTTGCATTGATAAAAATTGACACTTGATTGATTCAAGAATTTATTGTGTCACTGACACATACTAGTGAATTTGAGAAGAAAGAAAGATACCATCGTTGCACCAAAACATTACTTGATTTTTTTATTTATAAAATTTCTCATTTCAAACATTATTATTTTTAAGAAACACTAAAAAAAAAAACACTTTCAAAACAGTATTATAAGTAATATATAAAATTTGATACTGGGCTTTTTATGGGGTGCGCCAGGCCGTGCTTTAGTGCAATGCTTGGGCGACACTTAAAGGCCCCAGTAGCAAGCTACTGTGGTGGGCTTTTCCCCTTAAAAAATAACTTTAATATTGGATGGGCCATTAGCCCATGTATCAGATATTAAACTGATAGGAATAAATACTACACTTCATTTTATTCAAAAATCGAGAATGATATGTTTTAAACTCTCTTTGGCCACTGCTTTTATAACACAACTAATGGCCTTCCTTTTCTTCTTTTAGTTGTGGGTTGAAAATAGAAATAAACCCCCCAAAGACACTTTCACCTTTTGAAGTACTCTGTATTTTCAAATTGTCATTGCATTAAAAAATATACCGTAACTTTTTTAATGTCTTCCACTGAGATGTGTATACAAACGTTGAAACTTTGGGTGGAACATCTCTGTATAGAGGGACAAGAAAAAAAGGGGTTTAGGTAGGGTGACCATTTTCTATACCACACAAGACACAATAAACGTATTTGGATTGTAATTGTGTTACTTTGAGTTTGGTTTAAATCGTATTCGGGTTGTAATTATGTTGATTCAAATTAATATGATGATAATTAAATACGTCGTGTTCTTGTTTGACCTCTCAACTTGTTTGATTAATCGTGTCGTGATCACGTTTTAAATGATTCTTTTAACTAAATGTGTTTAATAAACCCTAATAATCCTAATTGTATGGAATTTTAATTAAATGTGTCGAGTAGTATTATGTCAGGTTTTGAACAATTTATTAAACGAGTTGCGCATATTGTGTTTCTACTCGTTTCGACCCACAAAACATCATACTCATGTTTTAACATGATATAAATATGACACGCAAATATGAATAGCCACCCCTTTTATATTTCAAGTTTCAACCATGTTATATAACTTATACTGACATTGTCATAAATAAAAAAGAATATTCTTGTATATGAAATTAACACACCCATTTTACATTTTTAATGATAAGTTATTACATTAGTATGAAAAGTCACTTTTATGTTCATATAACAAAATCACACTTGTAGCCCTCATGCATGTTTTAAAAATAGTAATGAGAACACGCACATCCGTTTGGAAAGTTGGTAATGTCTGACTTCTATACCAACTGTTTAACTCATACAAGATTCAATTTCCAAATAAAAATTTTGGAGAGGGAGAGATGGAAGAGGAATTTTCAGAAAGTTTGTAGAGTGGAATTTCCAAGCTTTTGGTTTCAACTTTTCTTATTTTTATATATTTTATTCACAAAAAATGTGAACAAAACTCACATCTTGCTACAAGAGGAGAGGGAAAAAAAAACATATGTCCCCAATTTTATGATTTTTTCTGCAGCGTAAAAGTAATAAAATTTTTTATTAGAAGAAAAAATAGACAAACATAAATGGAAATAGACAAACAGTACAGCAAAGATTTCCCATTGCCAAAGGGAGAGTATCGAACTCACATAAATGAAGTGCGATTTTTGTTTTGAATGAAATTTGATTGCCATATCAATGGTGCAGAATGGAATAACTAAATATGCATTTTTCTTTGTGGAATAACATGACAAAAACGATGATATTGTGTGACTTCATTTCTTTGAAATAAAAATGCTAAAAAAATGTAAGGCTCAGCGAAATAATTTGTTTTCATAATTTTATGAAATCATACAGTGTATTAATCTATGGTCCTTGAAGTGAAAGAAAGAGTGATGGTATTAATACAAGCATTAGAACTATCTCATCGGGCAAAGTACCATCAGGTTTCTTTTCTTGTTCTTTGAAACAATTTGAATTCATAGAATCACAGAGATGAATTCAGAAAGAACACTTAAATTTTGTAGGAAGGAAAATCAATTTCATGATGTCAGTTAATTGCAAGATTTGGTTAGAATACCAAAATATGATATTTTCCAAACTGAAGAGGTGAAAAAGGAGTCGTAATGGATGCTCATTCAAATACAATTAGAAACCAAAAAGTGCAACTCCTTCACCATGATGTTTCATACACCCCAAAATTGGAGCTGATTCCGTGGGATAATAAGCAGTCCGACAACAGAGAGACCAATATTGACATTGGCACTCAACTTATAAGGTTTTCTGACAATTTCTAGTGCTTTAAGTATATAATTAAACATGAAAAATATATTATACGTACTGTCGAACTTAAGGAACGAAGATTGTCATATTGTTATTATTATTTTATGATTTGAACCCGGCGCTTCTCCTTATGGGATATTAGGAGATACCACTTTAATTCAAAAGCTGGTGGTAAATTTTACTACTTAAATCAAACCTACTTTGATGTAAAAGGTTGCCACAATATCCACCACAACCCTTTTCATGGGGTCAATACCCCATAATTAAGACTGCCACGTGTTCAAACAATTTTGACTTTGTTTTAAAAAAAAGTGGCAACAACAAAAGGTGTTAGGAGATGCCCTTCTGTAGTAGTAGACTACAAATGATGATGACAGAAAAAAAAAAAAACTAACATATTTTAATTTTTTTTGTTATTTGTGTGAAAGATGAAAAATTAAAACTTGAACTGGGCTTGGTGGGTGCACCAGGTCCTTGCTATTGTGCAAGACATGGGCGATGCTTAGAGGCCCGTAATATTTCTGATTTTCGCCATTTTTTCAATTTCTGGAATTTTTTGATTTTTTCGAGGATATTTTCCTCTTTCTTCGTTTTGCGTTCCGGATACCGTGGGGTATGCCAGGTGTGTCCAAGAGTTGATTGGGGCATTGTTTTGAGTTCAGGACTCCTAGAAATACAATGGTTGTCATTTTTGCATTTTTCCGTTTTTCGGGTCGAACGGTCCCGTGTGGGACTCGCTACCGAAATTATTGCATACGGGATTTTAGTTGGGTCCATTTACATTCCATACATTTTATTTAATGTGCTTTATGTGAGTTTTATGTAGTTGTGTATATATAATTGTGGTAAGACTAAAGAAAAAAAAGGAAAATGTTTTAATTTTTGGTGGGGCCCACTATTTCTTTTCTTTTAAATGGTTAAGAGACCATTACTGGCCTCACTTTTCTCTCTCAATCTCACGGCTATCTCTCTTTTCTCTTTTCCTTTTTTTTTTTTTTTTTTTTTTTTTTTTTTTTTTTTTCACCATCTTAAATCCTTGATTTCTTCCTCATTACTTGGAATTTTTGAGTGCTGTTTGCGACAATTCGAAGAGTTCGATGAGATCTTCAAGTCTATGTAAGCAATTTCAGCTTTTGACCATTCTAAGAATTCCAAAAATTTGGATCCATTTGAGGGTTTTCTACAAAATTGAGGTAGGGGTGTTTAATCCATAACTTCTTGGATTTTAGTGAATTATTCTCCATGTGTTGTTGTCTAGTGTAATACCCCTAATTTTAAAAGGATAATCTCAGTATTTTTAATTAAAGATTTTATTGCATTTGCATTGAATTATTTACTTATTTGTTTAATTGGTTAATTGTGTATTTATTTAAATTCATTGTTTATTTAATTTAATTATTTGGTTAATTGTTGATTTAATTGACTTGTTTTATTTAATAGCTTATATGATTTATTTGTTTTAATTCTGTGTATGCTTAGGTGGACTTAATTGCTTTATAATTTATATGTGTCATTTATAGTTTAGGTTTAGGGTTTTTTTTCTTTTATGAAGTTATGTTAGCCGACTTATAATTAGGTTAGAATTAGAATTAAGTTTTATAGAAGCCTATATATATATAAGTTAGGTGTCTGCCAAGGGTTTTAGAACCCTATTCACGTACTATGAGGCAGAGAGAAACAGAGAGGGATTCGGGAGGAAAAAAGAGAGAAACATAGAGAGGCTCAAGGAGGAAAGAAAGGGTGTTGCTCGTGGGTTGAACTAAGAGGCAACAGAGGAGGAGAACTGTCTTGGGATTCGTCGGAACTCAGAGACGGTGGTTTAAGGTTTCAAAACTGAAACCTAAGGCAAGTTTTATTCTAACTCCTTCCCTTAAACATGTGTTCTGTGCATGCTATATAGTCTCCAAGAATTAATTCCAACTTTCAAACGGATGTTTGATGCATGGTATATCAGACTATAAACTATTTTATGTTTAATTAACCGAAATTGTTTTTCTTGCATAAACTGTTTCGATTATGTTTTAAATTTTTGTCAAGCAATTCGTATTGGAATTTGAGGAATTTCTAGGACTTTTGGGACTTAAAATTGAATCTTAAAAACTTTTAAAAAATTGGGACAGAGAATTTGAACTTCGCCGGAAGCGAAGAAGAAGAATAGAGGAAGAGTAGCACGACTCTCAGGGAGAGAGTCGGCTCTCCATGAGGGAGAGCCAGCTCTAGAGGGGTGAGAGCCGGCTCCCATGAAGGGGGAGCTGGCTCCCTTGTTGGAACACCCTATGTGTAATACCCCTAATTTTAAAAGGATACTCTCGGTATTTTATTTATTGAGTTATTTTATTTTTGGTGTGATTAATTGCGTTTTTGCTTAATTATTTAATTATTTTATTAGTTGGTTTGCTTTATCTGTTTAATCGTGTATTTAACTGTTTTATTTTATTTAACTGTTTTATTTTATTTGGTGATTAATCTGTTGAATTGATTATGTTATTTAATTAATTAATTTTGTTTTATTAAATTGGTAGCTAGGGCTGCAACTTGGGCGGGCTAACCCAGCCCAGCCCAACCCCAACCCAATTTTTTTGAAATTTGGATATATAATTTACAAATCGGGTTATGTTCAGGTTGGGTTTTGTCAAAACCCAGACATATTCGGGTTGGTCTCGAACCCAACCCGAACCCAACCCGAAACCCAAATTAAAAAAAAAAAAAAAATTCTCCTTTCTCTCTCCTCTCTCTTTCTCTCTTTGCTGCCGTCCTTGCCACCGCCACCGCCGTCCCTCAGATCCACCGCCTCTTTCTCTATCTTCTTTCTCCTCTCTCTTCTTCCTCTTTCTTTCTCGGTATCTCTTCTTTCTTTTTCTGTATTTTCAAAGAACTTCTGGTCATCATCAATCTTTCTCTTTCTCTTCCGGGTTGGGTTTTGATTTTTTGAACAATCTAAAATGATCTGAAATATATGGGTTTTGAACTTTTGATTCTTGCAGACAGATCTGAAAAATATATGGGTTTTGAACTTCTGATTCTTGTAGATTTTGTAGTTTGTAGTTGCAGAGAGAGAGAGAGAGTTGAGAATGAGAATGCGAGCTGGAGGTGGAGGCGACTGGGGA